CTCTGAGGGGTTGGCTAAGTGCCACGATTAAATATATATATATTTTTTGTCTCCGTCAGTTTTTTCTGCTCCTGTCTGTGCTCGTTTTGCTTCTCCCCTGCTGTCCTTTTCATCACAAGATAACATTTATTATATATTTTATTATTTTTGTCTCCGTTCCGTCGTTTCTCAGAGACTTTGCTGCAGTTTCATGTTGGTTGAAGGATTATTGTGTGCAGCAGAAACATTTGCTGTGATTATTGTATTCAATAAGCAGCTGCATGTGGCTTTGGTTGAATGATTGATTCACAGAAAACTATTGATTTGTATAATAAAGCCTAGAAATTTAATGAAACCTATTTAAAATGAGAAATTAAGGCAAGTTATTGTGAAATGAAAGCGTTTGTAACAGGAGATGAGATCTCTGGAACCTGACAAACAGATTTTATTTTGGCTAATCTCTTTTTTGTGTATTTTTGTCTAAGTTGTTGTTTGTCTAATGGCTTCGTTCACACCCTGGTCGGCTGGGAATTATACAAGCAATGGAAAATAATTAAAGAGAGAAAAAAAAGCACATTTCTTCTATAAAATCTACATCTACAACTATTCGAAAAAAGTCAGGATGTTGTGTAAAATGTAAATAAAAACAGAATGCAATGATTTGCAAATTCCATATACCCATTTTATAGTGATGGAGCTGACCTCTCAGCGAGACGGTTATCAGACCAAATCCTGGCCGGGGACCATTTTTAGTGCAATTTGCATGTTCTCTCTGTGCATGTGTGGATTTTCTCTGGGTGCTCCAGTTTCCTCCCACAGACCTAAAACATGCATGTTAGACTGATTGATCTAATTGTCCCTAGGTGTGAGTGAGAGAGTGAATGGTTGTTTGTCTCATTTGTCTCTATGTGTCCCTGATGGACTGGAGACCTGTCCGGCGTGTCCCCTGCCTCTTGCATAGTTACTCCTGGATATGTGCACCAGCGACCCCCATGACCCAGAAAGGAAGAAGCGGGTAAAGATAATGGATGGATGGAACATGGCAATAAACATATCAAAAGTTTAAACTAAAATATATACTTAAATAATAAAGTAATTTTGAAAATGATGGCAGCCACACATCTAAAACTTCACGGAACACGAGCAACAAAAATCTGTAAAAGTAAGTGGTACAATCTGTAAACAGCTGGAGGAGCATTATGCACTAATTACTGGTAAGTTAATAGTCAACAGCTTAGTAAGAGGACTGGTTAAAACAAGAGAATTTTAGAGACCGAGTCTCCCAGAAGCAAAGCTGGGCAAAGGTTCTTCACCAATCTGCAAAAAGAATAAATCATGAAAATATTAGAACAGTTTCAGAATAATGTTCCTCAATAGAAAATTAGGAAGACCTCAAATATCCCATCGTGTACAGTTTAAATCATTAAAATATTTCAAGATTCAGGAGAAATCTCAGAGCTCAAAGAACAAAAGTGAAAGTCAGTATCTAATGTCAGTGATCTTCAGGGACCACTGCATTCAAAACCGGTCTGATTCTGTTTCGGTCTTCACTGCATGGACTCAGGAACACTTCCACAAATCATTATCTGTAAACACCGTTCACTGAGCTACCCATAAATACTAGTTAAAGCTCTATCATGCAAAGAAGAAACCAGATGTGAACACCATCCTGAAACGTCATCTTTTTTATTTAATGTTTTTTAACCAAAAGTAATTTAAAATGGACAGGGGAAAAAATTTAATAAAAAAAGCTTAAACTGGATATGGGCACCAGTGATCCCCACAACCTGAATAGGAAGGAGCAGGTAAAGATAATGGATGGATGGAACTCGCTGACAGAACGTCTACTGGACTGAAGAGGAGTTGGGAGGAGTACCGTCTGACTTATCAGAACTCAGTTCACACGCCTGCCTCTCTGATGTTGAACAGCTGGAATTCCACATGAGGCAGGACAGGGAGAACATTCTCTTGAAAATCTCCAGCAGCTGTTCTTCTCAGTTCCTGGACGTTTACAGACTGTTGTTAAAAAGAAGTGGGAATGCTTCACAGTGAGAAAAGTTGTCCTTGGTTTGTAATTTGTATCACTGCCATCAACTTGTCGAGCGGCTGTGGCTGAGTAGTTAGAGCAGTCGTCCTCCATTGCAAAAGTTGGGGGTTTGAATCCACTAGCAGTCACATGCCGAAGTGTCCCTGGGCAAGACACTGAACGCCTCATTGCCTCCATGTGTGTCCCATCGGTGTATGAATGTGATAAAGCTCTGATTAGTCTCTTTAGAATGATTTGTTCAATTAGCTTCGTAGAGATCTAGTATGTATCTAGTATTCTGTATGAATGGGTAAATAAGCTTGTAAAGAGCTTTGAGTATCTTGATAAGATAGAAAGGTGCTATATAAATACAGTCCATTTACCATTAACTTCAAATTTCTTCTGGAAAACAATACGTTGATACATGTTGTATATTTACTGTGTTCCATTGTGAATAGATTCAGGGTTATGGGATTTGCAAATAATTGCATTTTCTTTATGTTTACATTTCACACAATGACTTTTTTTTAAATTGGTGTTTTAAAATGCTTGCAGAGTTAAACAAATGTAATTCTAACTAAACATCTTCTTGAATCCTTCTCGGTTTCTGGTTATTGCCTGCCACTGAAAAGCAAGAGGTGTGTGAGGATTCTCATTTTTGTGCATGTGTGGGTTTGCCTGTTAGCAAAATATTTCAAACAAATGAACGGATCATCATCATGAACCAGTCAGCTTGGTTCATGATGGCTGTCTGAGCCAAATGACCTTACAAAAATCATCAAAATGGCTATAACTCAGTTGATTTTAGACATATGCTAAAAGGATTTGTTGTTATGGAAGCAGAGGATCATTCACAACACACACTCCCAAGCATTAATTATTAGAGTTAATCATGCTTATCTGTTAGCAAATATTGTCATGAACCAGTGGACCAATTTAACGACTGGTTCAGACATTATTGGATGTGCATCTACAACCGACTGCCTGTAGCCAACACTGAAATGACTCTGAGGGTGACATCTTGTGATGTCGCATGAGATTCAATACAAAGTTATTTTCGTGGGTTGACCAAAACGGCTCCAACCCTGCACTTTCTTTACGTTGGATGATTTTTATCTGAAACTCTGGCATGAACAGCAGAGAGCAGCATCTTAATGATTGTTGTGTTTCAAGTTTATTTTGATCAAAATGAAAGCACAAATAGATCATGTGACACTACATTAAATCATGAGCGTTTTTTAAAGCAATAATCCTCAGCTGAGTCCCCTAAAGGCAACGTTCACGTCTGCATTGAGCTCTTGATTTTCTGTGCAGACTAAAGAATGTTGTAGAAACAAGCTCTAGGCTGACAAATTCTTTTAAACGCTTCATTATCGTTTTAATAAATTTCTATTTAGCCTTTTGAAGCATTGCGTTTGAAGCTTTGTATGCGAGTAGTTCCTCTGCTACAAATGCCAGAGTCTGACGTCTGTATTCGACTCGGCTGATACTTTTGTGCTTCTCAGAAGTCTTAGCAATGCTTTTCTAGTTCAGTTTAGTTGTATTTGATCTGCACAGCAACCAAAACATACAGACCAACACACCCAGGTAGTATTGTTTACTTTCATTGTGTGAGAAGATTCTAACAATTGGACGTTTTTGGCCTCGAAGGTGTTTCACTTCACAACCCAGCCCGTACGATCTGTCCTGATGTGTAAATACCACTTCAATACATCACAGTTTATCCAGTAGATTTATTTAAAGGGTAAATGAAGATTAAAACGTTTTAGAGCAGGGGTGCCCAATATGTCGATCGCAATCTACTGGTCAATCGCAAAGACATTATGGGTGGATCACGTGGCATTAAAAAAAAATAGACGTCAGCCTATCAGCCATTCTCACTGACATTTGTTGCTTGATTGACATACATGGCAGCCGGTTACAGCCCTCATTCTCTCAAACCAGATCTCAGTGGAGATTTTCGGGGAAAATATTTATTTATCCATATTTATACCCCCACCCGCCGGTGAAATTCTCCATGTGTGAAGTCGCACATGTGCACTACAGGTGGCTGCAGCCAAAAGTTTTTCTGCACTAACGTCAGTTGTAATAAATGGCAAACAGCAGAGTGTTTTTTGTGCTACACACCATTTTTCAGTATGTAGGAGCGAAACTAATAAAATCCAGGGTCCAAAGAGACGTTGGTGTATTCATCAGTTTGGACGTAACTGTGATCATGCAGACGCTGCATGTGCGTTGAATGCAGCTGAGCTGGCATCAGGGTTGCCAGATAAATTTAAAATGTCTTATTTACCCCTTCTTTGCCTGTGCACATGTTCAACAAACACTTTACTCAGCACATATGACAGTTTAGGTAAAAAAAGACTATAATTTTAAAGCCAAAGTACTATAGTTCATAATTTCTTATCTGGCAACCCGACTGACATGGAATCTACAGCGTTTTTTGTGTAAACCCACTCTTTTTTTTGTTTATTACCCCCAATAAATATTGAAAAAACACAAACATTTCCAGAGTTTGTTCTCGTGTAAACAGGGCCTTAGTAGGTAGATCACTTTGACTTGGTCATTTAAAAAGTAGCTCACATGCTGATAAAGTGTCAGCACCCCTGTTTTAGAGCATGTTCTGACTCTCACCTCAGTAGCTTTTTTATGTAAATTTGGCAGCACTTGATGTTATTTTGTCCCTCATAAAAAGTCAATTTGACATCACAGTGAATATTTTTTTTATACTAACTGGAGTGTTTGTCCCTTCAACAGTAATAATTATCTTGTTCATGTAAATGCACTGATAATATTGTACTCTAGAATATTAATAGTCTTCCATTTTCTCAATGCGGAGTAGCCGGTTTACTTCTCAGTTTATCTTCTTCTAAATGAGTTTGAACCGGGGGAGTTCCCAGGAATAGCTCTTGTCTTTTTGGACTTGACGTGTTTAGCCGTCTCAGACTCTAGTCTTTTCTCACCTGTAATAAACGTGAAACTCTTTTCTTCCCAGGGCTCAGACGACTGCCTGGTAAAGATTTGGGGAACAGACGATGGGCGTCTGCTGGCGACCCTGCGCGGCCACGCTGCCGAGATTTCGGACATGGCTGTCAGCTACGAAAACACCATGATCGCCACCGGCTCCTGCGACAAGACCATCAGAGTGTGGTGCTTACAAACTTGCGCCCCCTTGGCAGTCCTGGAGGGACACGCAGCCTCCATCACCTCACTGCAGGTGCGAAGGTTGTTAGTCTGCGTGTGTTTTTAAAGACGCTAACGTTATTCTAATTCTGTCCAACTCACTCAGCATAGTACCTGTTTATTTGTAGAAACTCTGAGACGTGACAGGAGTTGAGCTGTTTTTTTTTATATATATTTGTTGGTTACTGTGAAGTTATTCCCTCTAATACATCACAATTTCCTCCTATATGAAAGGATGCATCTAAACGTGTGCCTCAATCAGAAATAGTGTACCAAGACTTTTGGTAGCAGTCAGATTATGTGCATTATGTATTTTGTTTATGCCGTGTACAAAATTAGCCAAAAAAAAGTTTGTGAAATTTGTTTCCACAACAGTAGGATTTTGGAATTAATGAGTGAGAAAAGCCAGCACTATTTGGAGCTCTATAAACCAACATACTTCACAGTGGAAACCATTCGAAGTTTAAACGGATCACAGAAAGCTGGACTTTACAGAACTAATCGGGCATTTTGATATATTTATGATCTTTTACAGTTTAGGTCTAACAAGGTTGAGCCGGGTCCTCTGGATGGATTCTTCTTTGTTGAAACGTTTCGTCTTTTATCCAAAAGACTTCTTCAGTCATGAAGTTTGTTTTGGATACAATTTCCAAGATTCAAGTTTTGTATAAAATTACAAAACGTTTCAACAACGATGAATCCGTCCAGACGACCTGACTCAACCTCGTTAGATTGATCTACCTGGATTATTGAGCATGCATCAGGACATCACAGTTTAGGGTTTAACTTTTGAGCTTTCAGTACGTTTAGATTTATTTATTTTTTTAACCAATCTCTTCTTTTTTCCACAAACTTTACACTTTTTATACAACCTATTATATATATGTATATATATATATATATGTATCTAATATATTTTGCATAAAACACTGTAAAGACTTAAAAATTTACATGTGAGATTATCTGTGGCACTTACAGGCTGTCATGGAGTGATAGATGTGTGGGGTTACCATGACGACCAACAAGCCACTGAATGCAGCTTTAACGTGTCTTTTCTTGGTTATATTTATACCGTCTGCAGTTCATCCATCAAAACATCAGCATATTATCAGATTACATTGGAACTTAAGTTCCAAATTAGTTTTGTGCTTTAAAGAAGAAAGTTGTTTTATGTTGGAATTGTTGCCAGCAGCATATTAAAAAAAAACATCTTCAGAAATGTTTAAAGTTGTTTGCATTTTGCATGTTGGTGTATTGTTTGTTACCAGATACTGTTCTACACCAGTCTGTTCTCTGTGCAGCATTAAAGTGGTATTTCTATTTGACGAATAGAAACTCTGCAGTAATCTGAAGTAGATAAAATGTGATTATGATAAAGAGTAGATGAAAGACACACTTGTCTGATATCGTTCACAAAGTTAGATCCTGATATCCGTTCAGTCAAAGACCACTTTTCATGTCAGAAATATTATTGCAGTTTTAAGGGAACATTTCTTTTCGGAACAACAGCGAGGCTCGTTCTTGGAGTTTTATTACATTTTCAGTCAGTGCTTGTTGCACAGAGGATTATTGGGTTTTACTTTCTGGCAGAATGTCTTTATTGCTTTTTGTTCTTCACTGTTTCATCAGCTTACAGTTTTGAATCCTTACTTTTTGTGCCTCTTTTATATTTCAATCCTACGTAGGTATATTTAATTAATATTTTACTAACTTTTATTGGTGAATTGAATCTTTTAGCAGTAGTTTTTGATAGTTTGCTTGAGCTCTTGTTATGTTGATCTCTTTGGTTCTGTTTGCAGTTTTCGCCTCTCTGTAGCAGCTCCAGGCGCTACCTGTCCTCCACCGGAGCTGATGGCACCATCTGCTTCTGGCAGTGGGATGCCCGCACTCTCAAGTTCAGGTGAGGGAAAAATGGATGCAGATATTCCCACCTCCACAAGCATCTTTCACAACTTTTGTATCACTATTGCATGCGGGAGAGCATATGCAGCTCATGTATAACTGTATATGATTATTAAATTTGGTTCTAATTGCACGTTTATTTTGTGTTTATTTTGTGTTTTGTTTGTGTTCCTTCGTGCACTCAGCCAGCGGCCCAGTAAATTCACCGAGCGCTCCAGACCTGGCGTCCAAATGATCTGCTCCTCCTTCAGCGCAGGTGAGCACAACGTGTTTTAGTTTTAAAATCCAGGCCAAAGAAAGAAATATGAGTAAACAATTTGGACGCCGCTACACAAATAAATATAAAAACTACCACTACAGACAAGCACACTTAGCTGGCTTCACAGCGGAGTGGTGCTGTGATTTTCATTTCTGCTGTTAAATTGGATTGTGTGTGTTGACGGCACATTTCAGCTCAGTGGCTGTTCTGCACTCATTCTGCATGTTAACTTTGGTGTGTTCAGTCTGTAGGCGTCATGATTTCCAGATTATTACATGCTATGATGGTCGTGTTTACCCTGTCATCCTGTGCAGCTAATGGGATCTTTCTGGGGCGCTCTCAGAAAATTATTCTTGATTTATGTGTGTGGGTGCACACACTCGTTTGTCTGTCAGCATAATATCTCATGAAGCGGTGTACACATTTAATGACACTCAGAAAGTAATCATTAGAGGTACATCTGCAACTAATTATCTTTTGGAGTCATGTTATTTGAAGATGGTTGATGCAGCTGATTCACCATAGCCAACACAAGAAGTAGCTTTAACTCGAGCTTTGGGACAAACTTTGGTAGGATAGTAGCTGAGAGTTATTCACATACTTTGAGCACCAATATGTCAGGTTAAACATGCTTGTTTAATTTGTTTTGTATTGCTTCTGTTTAATTCTCACCTAAATTACTCTCCATATTGATAAAAACCAGGTTTCCTCCTGTTTTAGAGATCAACGTAGTTCAGGACAGCTTCTTTGCAGGAGCCTCTAAAAGGAGTCCAATCTCAGCCTAAACCAAAACTAGATTAAAACTAAAAGTAAAGCAGGAAAAAAGCATTAGTCAGAAGAATAAAAGGACACACTTCTCACTCAGTGTTCATTGTATTCACCTTCCTCTGACCCAGTGTCTCAGCAAATGATTTGCTTTGACAGTCCTCTGTTGCACGGGCGTTGTCTGTTAATTGGTGGAGCTGACTGTATTATCCTTGAGTTCAACTATGTTTTGGTTTACTTTTTTATAAAAGACTTGTTTTAACACGTTACACTCTTATTTATCCTATTAATCAACACTCGCATGTAAAAAAAATACACACGTTCCAGGTGAAGAAGAATAAAGGTGGAATAAATTTGTTTATTTTTAATGTTACATGACAAAAGCATCATATGTGCAGGTTTGTCTAGTGTGAAATATAACTAAATTGATTCCTTGTCTCTACCGCCTTTCCATGAGCGTTAATGTCACATAAATGCTAAACAGTCTTGTTCAATCAACATTTTTGAATCACATTAATGAATTGCAGTCCACCGATTATTTATGGCCGAAATGAAAAGACAAAGAGCGCGGCTGTGCTTCAACAGTAAGGCTGACGATGCAGCAGCTCGGCACAACAAAAGCAACACACACACACCAGGCATCCTGTTTTAAGACTGCTGTAAGGAGGCTTTCTGCTGTTTAGTATATAAGATGTCCATTAAGTGCACTTCAGTTTTTTGGGGGGCATTTGATGATTCTGAGTATTTGGTTTAGGTTTGAATCTTACAGTGTGAAAAATGTACATATTTGAACTATGAAGAATCCATCCAGAGGACCTGACTTAACTTTGCTAGATATGGTATACTGGTATATACTTGATATATCTATGGGCTATGGTTGTGTGGTGGTCCGTGCTGCGGTCTTGTAATCCTGAGGTTGCGGGTTTGAGTCTGGGTTATATCAGGAAGGGCTTCCAGCAAAAAACAAATGGCCAAATCTTTCATGCAAGTTTGCTTGCTGTGGTGACACCTAGACCTGTCGCGATAAACAATAACTCAATTAATCGCATGATAAATGAAAATGATCAACCTCATTAAATTTATTGGCTTTATCGTTTCTTCATGTCTCTCTCTTTCTACTGGAGACACTGGATGACAAAAAGTTAAACTCCAGTGCTCTTCACTGACCCCTCCCTTTCTCTTTTCTCTTTGAAATCTGTTTTAACCGTCCAAAATCGCGTTTTTGGATCGTTAAAAGCAGCTAAGCTGAAAAGCTAAGCTACGAACTAAGCTAACAGGCCGACCTCGAGGGAAAAACCTCCGTCTTTTCGAAGCTCCAAAATTCACGGTTGAAACCCGTGCCTTTGTGTAAAATGTATTTTTTCTCTGAAAAAAGACGCTGAGAACTTGTTTGCTAATTTTTTATTAAAAGCTTTGTGCGAAAAATGCTATGCTAAAGAGCTCAAACCACACCGAGCGTCCACCATTTTGAGAACCGAAAAAAAGGAGAGACAGACAGCCCATGTCACGTCAAGGGGCCTCCTTCCCATTTTTCTTGAAGAGACACGCTGCTTGCTCCCTCACTATCCATCCTTCGGTTCAAACAGTCTTATACTGCGGTGGTCAACAAATAGTACTACACTCAAAGTAAATTAACCAACATTTCTTCTAAAATTTTACAATAATTAATAATTATTGTCAAATTTCAAACAATATTATCATTAATCAGAATAATTTCTGAGACAATTAATCACCCAGCAAAATTTTTTATTGTGACAGGCCTAGTACTACATGCAAAACAAATTAATTTTTTTCTTAAATTTGACAGTAATTACTAATTATTTTCAAATTTCAAAAAGTTATTGTTTATTGCAATCATTTCTGCGACAATTAATCGCCCAGCAAAATTTGTTATCGTGACAGGCCTAGTGCCGCCTGAAGAAGGGCGCAGCCAAAAGAATTTATCGTTCTATATCAAAATATATCGTTATATTTATCCAAATATATCAAGTACTCTTATGTGTACTTGATATATTTGGAAATTATAGTCACTCTGCTCTCATGTTTACATTTTACAAGTGCTATGTTTTGCTGAAAAAGCCTGAACTTTGTATTTGTCACTGACCAGAATATCTTTTTGCAGTCAATGTTATAAAGTGTGACGTTGGTTAAAGATGGGTAAAGTCCGCAAACAAGAATCTAAACCCCTCTCTGTGCATTTAGGTGGGATGTTCCTCGCCACAGGAAGCACTGATCACATCATCAGGGTCTACTACTTTGGGTCAGGTCAACCAGAGAAGATCTCTGAACTCGAGTCCCACACAGTGAGTAGGAACTTTTACGTTGTTCTCTGTTTGACTGCTGCTGCCTCTTTTTGCACATGGATGCCCACAAAATTTTATGTTAATCATGTAATACAAAATTGTTGGGAGTGTACAGGATTGTAAACTAGTGTTTGCACGAATTGATATTAAGTTTTTGTAATTCAAATATGTCTAAGACGTAAAACAGCAATCCACTTTAGACATGGCCAGACTCACTAGCCGTTAGCTCATCAGTTCATTAAGAACGAAACCGTTTCTCCAAACTGAGATTGTTCAGAGCTATCTACAACAAATAAGATATTGTTGTTCATAGCCTTTCCACAGAACCCCACTTGAAATGAGCAGGGTTATCACTTTAGGTTCAGTTCCTTAAGAAATAATCCATTTCCATAAAATTTGCATGTGCAAATGTGAAAAGATAAAAATAAAACTAGTGAACTGATCTGGAGTTAAAAACTTTTTTTTTTTTAAAGAAATCCACTGTAAATGTGTGCCATGACTGATTGGGCAGAAAAAAAAGGGCCTGTGTTGACATTTGCCACATTTATTTATCTTTTTTTCTTCTTCGTAGGACAAAGTTGACAGCATCCAATTTTCACATTGCAGTGACAGGTGAGCTGACACGTTGTATTTTGCTTTTTTGTGTGTGTCTGGAGCCACATGGCAATACATTTTTGAGTGTGTGCTTGTGTCAGACTGCCAGTTTTAATGGAATCTTCAGGGTGCTGCGACTTGATGCTGTCAGCAGAAACACCACCTTTAGTTAATGCATGATACGTGCTCTAATACACATTGTCTCTCTCACACACACACACAAGCAAAGACATGCTTATGCTTATACACTGTGTGATCTGAGTGTTGAACTTTGAGTGTGTCTGGATGAGGTTTGAAGGAAGACATGCTCAGTTGTTATTCTCCTGGGGTGCTGTAATCTAAGCACTGAGGAAAACGGCAAATATGCAGGTGGTGGGAGTGGAGAACACAGGAACAGTAATTACTGTATGCCACACAAAGCTGAACACGTAACTGGTAAACAACATTTGATTTTAATGAGCGTAGACCTTTAGCTGCACAAGTCTGTGTTTTCATCTCTGCTCGTGTGTTGTAGGTTTGTGAGCGGCAGCAGAGATGGGACAGCTCGGATCTGGCAGCTGCAGCCTCAGGGCTGGAAGAGCATTCTGCTGGACATGCAGACCAAATTACCTGGGTATGAGAGTGGATTGCTGGCAAAAAAGAGTTCAAACTGAACTTTGTGTTTTCCATTAGCTTAAACAAACACTGGCATAAAGATACAAAATTAAACTTTACCGCAATGTTTAAAAAGTGGAAGAGAACCTGTCTCAGATAAAACTGACGATCAGTCAACAGCTTGTTTAAATACAGTTATCGTTCTAAAACTCTCTGCCTCAGTCCTATAGACCTTTGCATGTTACTTAAAGGGGTTGCACTGCCCAGTTTTTTTCTGAATGTCTCCATTTTGCCAGCGGACCCTGAATGTTTATGTAGAAATACTTCAAAAAAATAAAAGTACAGCAGACGGAGGAGGCTCTGAGCTCGACTGATGTCTATACATTGACCTGTAGAAGGTTGCAACTCCTTTAAAAAGGAATATGTTGGTGAAGATTCTCAGTCAACCAAGTTATAATAAAAAAAAGGTTAAAAAACAACTGAACTTATTTTGAAGCAGAAGATGTCTCTCTTCCCATCCGGGAGGATTTGTTAATTCTAAAATGTCTGGAGTGTGTGGAGTTCCAAGTTTTACAAAACTGCATGAGAGGCCTGGCTGTGTATTTATATTCTCATGCAGATTAGACTGGAACTACTCGCCCCGCACAATGGAGGCTCGTTAGGTTCATGAGAGAGATGTTTGGGTTAGGAATGTGCGATATGGCATAAAATTCATATTACGATATGTATTGTGAAGGGTGGCGATAACAATATATATCGCAACATGTTTTTGATATAAAACTTGCTAAAAAAAGCATAGGATGTCCTTTTGCCATCATATATTTTGAATTAAGAAAATTTCAGTACTAGGTCCAGAGAGTTTTTAAATAATAAACAAATCAAGTATTAGGCTTCTTTCTTGTAGTGCAAAACAGTGCAAAAGATATCAAATGTAGTTTTAGCCATATGTTTTAAACAAAATAATATGTTGTTAACTCTTAACAGTTTCCAGTCTTACTTAATAAATGAACAGCAACAGAGCAGCATTTTACACTGAAACACTTCACCCTCCAACCCTCTAGTGGACGACTCCTTCTGCTTTAATGGAGAGCTGACACAAAATGAGTCTGTGGCTTTGACCAGAGGGTCTCGCAGTAAAATCACACAACACAGAGTTCTTTTCACAGATCAGAGAGCAGCTTTCTCTAAAGATGACCAACGCTTACTTTAACTTTCGACCGAAAAAAACAAACTTTCGATGGAACACAGCGTTTTCCGCATGCGTCCGAATCTGGCAACACTACGGCAAACCTGACGCAGTTATCTTGTAGCTTCGCTACTTAGAGCTCGAAGAAAAGACATTAACGCCACTTGCGCACAGTTTTCAACAAAAAAAAGAAACGATTAAACTGACCACTCGATTTTACTTCAGACACAGCATTATTGCGGTTAGCTGGTAGAAGACAGATCTATATCGTAGGCTAAATTTCTATCGTTTCTATCGTATACCGTATATATCGTGCATTCCTAGTTTGGGTCACATTTACGAAGGGGTGAAACTTTCAAAAACTTGCAGGCATTAGGCCTTATTCCCAGTCAGGTCCACTCCAATTCACAGCTTCATGCATGTGACTAAAACTTCCAAAGTAAAGCATACCAAAGTGCTTAACAATAAAAATCATTGGCAGTAATTTAAAGAAAAAACAAAAGCAAAAATTAATTGAAAGCATCAAAAGAAAAACAATAAAATACTAAATCAAATCACACTGTGTTAAAAGTCAGTGAAAACAGATGAGTTTTTAAAAGAGATTTAAAAACAGGAAGTGAAGGAAGCCTGCCAAATGTTGGGGGCAGATTCTTCCAAAGTTTAGGGCCCATGACTGAAAAAGCCTGATCTCCTCTGAGCTTCAACCTGGTTTTTGGTACATCCAAAAACAGCTGATCAGATTATGTCAGCTCTCAAGAAGGAACATAAGGTAGGTTAGTAGGTCAGAGAGCAATGAGGGTGCAAGGCCATTAATGCACTTAAAGGTCAACTGAGAATTTTAAAATCAATCGTGTTACGTGAAGGGAGGATAAAACTAGTGAGAAATGATCAAACGTACGAGTTCCTGTTAAGAGTTGAGCTGCAGCATTTTGGACGAGCTGGAGACGTGACATGGAGACCTGACTGATCCCAACATAAAGCACGTTACAGTAGTCTAGTCAATTCAAAAATACTTTATTAATCCCAAAGGGAAATTATTTGTTGTTGTAACTTGTTATCCTCATTTCATTAAGAGATGTTATAGATGCTGATGGCTGTAGGCAGGAAGGATCTCTTGTAAAGGTCCATTCCACAGTGGATCCTAAGAAACTGGCTGCAGATGCTGTCCGATCTGTCCACCCAGACTCGGCTGGCCTCTTGGTTCCCCTGAGCTGTAGGACCGCCTGAATGCCGGGGAGAACTCCTCCCAGAGCGATGGCCACTCCTCCCAGCAGCCTGCCGAGCTCCTTGTTGCTGGGGACAGCCAACTTTAGGTGTTGAGGGACGATCTTGTCCTTCCGCTGTTATGAGCCGTGTTTCTTGCTAGTTCCAGGATCTCAGTGATCAGGCACTCGAGCACAGCTGGCAGGTAGATGAGAATGCATCCACAGAACATCCTTTTCAACTCATTTGAGAATTGGGGCTGTAGCTGAGATATTATTTGAGCTTCTGAGATGTTAATCAGCTGCTGTTGGTTGTAGAAACTGCCTTGTTGCCATGGTTACGCATCATAACAAATGTCCAAAACTAAAAAAGTTTCAGTACAAATCCTTCCAGCTGCACAGCATCTGATACCAGAGGAAACAATCATCAAAAAAAAAAAGTGATTTACATCCAGAAAAAGAGGAATTAAAGTTTCCAAAAGCAAAATCTCCGAATGAAAGTAACAGAGCTGCTCCAACATGCAGCCACCTTGAGCGGCGCAATTCTAAAACAAAGAAGCTATGAAGTCGGGTTTTACTTTTCTAGAAGTCGGGTTGTAATGAAGGTATGGACTATTTTTTCAAGGTCAGATCTGGTCAACACAGACTTAAGCTTAGCTATCTGCCTTAATCATGCCTTAATATCATCAACACATTTTAACAGAGGGTGAATGGAGCAAGAACTATTGGGTTTTAAGGGCAGAGAAATCTGACTATCATCAGCATAGCAGTGAGAAGAAAGACCATGTTTCCTCTGGATAGACCCTTAAGGTAGCAGATACAGTGAAAACAGAAGGGGTCCAAGAATCGAGCCCTGTGGAACCCTGCAGGAAAGAGGCGCTGAAGCAGATAATGTATTAAAATATATATTAATATATTAAAACTACGTTTCTATGTAGAAAAAATGAATACCACAAACCAATAGTGGAAATAAAGCCAACATTATTGCTTTAGCACAGGTTAATTTTTTGAGGAAACTTTTGTTGCTGAACTTATCAAGAAAGTACAAAATGTTAGTCTGTTTCACTGAAAGTGTTGAGAACATCTTAGAAGTGCTGAATTTTACAATAAATTTCTTATATAAATTCAAACACAAACAGCTGGGGTTAATTTTTTCATGCTGCAAACTTTTTAAGTTTATGTCGTTCTTCATTAATGTTATAAAACAGAAAGACTGTAATTAAACAAATGTGTTTTTTACACTGTGGAGCAACCTTCCCACTCTAAACATTTAACTTTTGGTCATTTTAAGATTTTCTCACGATGTAAACCTGCAAAGTTCTGCAACTGCTTAAAATAAGACATTCATCTCCTCATCAGGAAGTACAACCCCCCTCCACTGGAAGACAAGGTGACTAAGCTGAAGGTTACCATGGTTGCGTGGGATCGCCATGACAGCTCAGTGATCACAGCAGCCAATAATCTGACGCTGAAGGTGTGGAACTCCATCACCGGGAACTTGGTTCATGTCCTGATGGTATGTAGCAACACAGAAAGTCTAAAACACTGAATTACTTTGATTAGCATTTGCAAAATACGTAATTTTTCGAGTCACACAATCACATTGAAAAAGTTTAATGGGATAAGGGTTAGGAATGGGTTTTTCAGAAATGTCATGTTGAAAAATGTGTCTTAATTACATTCTGATGTCGGGTCAGAATGATAAAACCCTCCAGATCTGACATGTGAGCGATAAGCATCAACGCTGTATAAAAGCTTCCACTCATTTTCTTAAGGCTGATATATTTTGTCACTGGTGTAATTTAGGGCATTGAATTTTTTTTTTGTTATATTTTTATTTTACTTTCTTATGGCTCTTTCATAGCCAGTTCCGCAAGATGGCCGCACAGACCAGTCCATCTTTCTCCTCCCTCTGTCCGTTCATAAATCACAGATAAAGCCGACCACTTCCCGCTCAGACGAGTTTTCAGAAATGAAGCGGGCTGTGCAGACCCCAAAGACGAGTGGAACAGAACTCAGCTGTGTTGTTGTAGAGCACAATGCATTCATTAATTGTGTCAGACGTCCGCCTCACGTCAATTAAAAAACATGACGAACCAACTAGTTTTAGCGATTCTCTCTGTGGTTACCTATTTTTGTAATCTAACTACAAAGTTGCTGTGTGTCTTCATTGATCGTCCTGCATTAATATATCAGTTTGCTGTTGTGTAATCGTGCATCTGGGTGGTCGCACACTAACATAACTGATTCATCACATTATTTAGCTGCAACACCGCAGCTTTTTTTTTTTTCCCCACATGTCAGCCGGTCTGGCTCTGTTACTACCTCACTTAGCGGCACACCAAAGGAGGGCCGTCTTTGATCCCCCTCGCCTTCTTGGTCTATTCAGAAGACACACTGAGTGGGTCGGAGCACATCTCAGTTCTGGACTGAGGTGTCGTGTGAAAGAGCTTTTTAAAAAGAAGACATGAAAGATGCAACAGATGAGTATTACTACACCAGATAAATAGTTTTAGGGATTGAACAAAATGTTCATAACATCCCGTTACAGAAATGTCACCTCTTAAGGGTTTTTTCTTCCAAAATTGGCAAATCAGCGTATTTGCTTTCCGGCTGAAAAGACTACACCGTTAACATTTTTTATTCATCGTCCTAAGACATGACGGTTTATGGCACGGCACTGTCCGTCTGTGGACACTTTCTTGTCCAAGCTCTACACTGATATCCCTTTAACAAAGAAATGTCAAACTGCACAGCGGGACCTCTCAGGGGCCCAGGATGATCCCTATTGATTTCAAGGTTGTGGGATTAAAGGTCAAGGTCACTGGTGATGCCTTTGTTAAAACCTAGTCTGCTCCAGCTTGACATCCCAGGAACATAGAATCAAACTCTTTGTCCTCTAGACTGTACCTGTCTGTCCATCTGCAAGACAGTAGCCAAGTCAAATTTATTTATAAAGCACATTTAAAACAGCAGCTGTTACCAACGTGCTTGTACAGTACACAATAAGTGTCCATGGTACAATTCCACAAATGCTTATGATGGAAAATGTCATCAGATTATGGCTCTTCACTGACTTACATTGTATTCATGTATATATACTGTTGATGGTACGATTCTAGCGTGTGTTGTGTTCTTTTTCTGTTCCGCATCTGACAGCTGCTGCACTGTTCCTTGCAAAGATAGTAAAAGCAGCTACGTTTTGATTTGTTTGTGTTATTTGTAAGAGTTCTGTTCTGTTATTTAAAACTGCCATTAAGTAATTTTTAATGAACAGATTGCACTTTGGTAATGGAGGGAGCTAGTGTTGCCGTCAAATAGAGATGCACGATATTGGATTTTTGGCAGATATCTGATATGTTAAAACTTATTTGGCCAAAAACAGATACCGATATTTTATATGCATTCCTTTGTCAGAACATAGCCCTCTTATTTAGGCTTATCTGCTAAAAAAAAATTGTGCAACAGCTGTAAGAGCTGGTGACATATATTCAGTAACAGCCATATGATATGCATAGCACTTTAACTTATATTAAATGAAAAGTGTTAAATGTTATTTATTAGCATTAGTCACCTGCGATGCTGTCTCACTTGTGGAGGCTTGTTCCAGGTTCAGCTGCAGTGTGGGATCCTCTGCACTCCTGTGCATGAAGGACAGACTTTTTAAGTTCAAAGTTTGTGTCTATCCATTGTGCCGTATGACTAATCATGCTAACGGGGCTAACACGACATACAAATGTCTGTGGTAAAACTCACCCAAGTGCTATCAGCTGTTAGCTTCTCAATGACGTCGGAAATGACGGCTTGTAACTCGGGTAAGGCTACATCAGAAAAAGATCTCAGACTGGGGACGATGTAGCGAAGCTCAACGTAGTCCATAAATCTTCAGAATCCGACGTCCTCACCAACAAAAAAAAATCTTACACACCGCCGACATTTTGACTTCTTCCTCTCCGCTGTGATCAGATCAGGTAGGCGCACGTGACATCATCATGTTGTGCTGGTGCTGCAGGCATACAAAAACTGCGTCTTTTATATTGGTGAGTTATTTTGATGGAATGGCTGAAGTCTGATATTTAACTTTAACTCTAATATCGGCTGATACCGATACCATGCTGATAATATCCTGCATCCCTATCGTCAACATAGCAGCAGTGTGATAATAATTAGAAAATAATAAAGCAAGTCCACAGAAATGGCAGCAGAAAAAGAGTTTATGCAAAACAAAACCAGAGCTTAAACTTTTTTTTTTTTTGAAAAACAGAGTTTTTAGTAACAGTTTTAAAACAGTTTTACTTATTGTATATCTGTATTAACAACTATCCATCCATCCATTATCTTTGACCCGCTTTTTCATTTTTTGGGTCACAGGGGTCACTGGTGCCCATATCCAGCAGTCACTGTGGCGGGAGACACCCTGGACAGGTCTCCAGTCCATCACAGGGACACATGGAGATAAACAACCATTCACTCTCTCTCTCACACCTAGGGACAATTTAGAGTTACCAATCAGCCTAACATGCATGTTTTTGGTCTGTGGGAGGAAACTGGAGTACCTGGAGAAAACCCACGCATGCACGGAGAGAACATGCAAACTCCACCCAGAAAAGTCCCGGGCTCAGATTTGGTCCTGCAACCTTCTCGCTGAGAGGTGGCAGCTCTGCCCTCTTCACTACCGTGCCACTTAACAACCAACCAGCTCTCCATGTTTATTTTATCCATTCTCTGTAAAAGAGCACCCTTGTAGTATGAACCCTGCTGTGTTTAACCTCATCTAATACCTCTACCAAGACAAAGTCCCAGGCGGTTCAACATTTTTAGTTTTCTACCCGAATACTTGAAACAACTGCTGTTATAGCCGTTTTGTGTGTTTATCGATAAATAGATAATGTTTGCAAAAGCATGTTATACTAAGCATTTTAGGATCAGTTTTAAGATTCTTTTATTTACTTTAAAATCTCTCCGTGGTCTTGCTCCACCCTACCTCTCCGAGCTGCTACAGCCTTACACCCCCTCACGTGCTCTCAGGTCAGCTGACCAGCTGCTCCTGAGCGTGCCCAAAACAAAGCTCAAGCTTTGAGGTGACCGTGCCTTCGCTGTAGCAGCTCCTAAACTATGGAACGGTCTGCCTCCGCATCACACAGGCCTCCTCGCTGTCTGTTGTTAAATCCCATCTTAAAACTTATCTTTTTTCCAAGGCTTTTGACACCATGTGAGATGTTGATTTTACTATTGTTATTTATTTGATACTCCTTTTACTGTTTCAATTTTTATCGCATAGCCGTTTTTGTCTTTTTAATTATTATTATTATTTTCTTGTATTTTATTCCTTTCTGTTCTTTTTAACTTGTCTGTACAACACTTTGGTTATGTATGGGTGTTTTTAAAGTGCTTTATAAATAAAGTTGGATTGGATAAGCATGACCAACAATACTTATCTAAAGCTATAATTTTGTCGTTTTTAATGTAATCAGCTACACCTTCTTTGTTGATCAGGTATTAACTTGTCCTTGATCTCTTGTTTTGACCGTTCGGTGTTGGCAGTCTTCCTGTTTTAAAGCTTCCTGCTGGAAGTGTCTGTAAAACAAAAATCTGTCTGAATGTTGACAAAACAGTCATGTTGCTTCTTTAGTAAAACCACTGCTGGTTTGATGGTTACTACACCAAAATATTTAACATAAGAGGATGAGAAAAGTAAAAGTATTATGTCAGTTTTTCCTCATTTTTCTCAGCGTGTCACAGTCACGATGCTCCTGTTGTTTGTTGACAGGGTCACGAGGATGAAGTGTTCGTCCTGGAGCCACATCCGTTTGATCCAAGAATTCTTTTCTCTGCCGGGCATGATGGGAATTGCATTGTGTGGGACCTGGACGGAGGAGTCAAGATCCGCTCTTATTTTAACATGGTTAGTCTGCGTCTCCATGTCTGTGTGTGTCGTTTAACTTTATTGTCACTCTTTATTTGATGCAAAAACTCACTTAAATTTTTTTTAAACATTTGTTCTGCACATTTCTTTTTCATTCTTTAACTTTTATTTTCCATTTTCTCTTTCACCCACCGCTGCTGTTTTTCCCCTCTGCTTTCACTTTTTTTTTTTTTATGGCCAAACTTTAGTTTCACTTTCCTTCTTGCTTTGTGTGTTGCCTAACTCCACACGGGAGTCTAGAAAATAATAACATGATCATATTAAAGTGCATATACCGTTACATATAGTCATTCAGTATGCTAATCGTTTGTTTCTATGGTAACCAAGTGTTCAGACTGTGAGTGATGAAGTGAGCTGGTCATTCAACAAGTGTGTGCTTGTGAGAATGCCCAGATTTCAGTGGGACACTTACTAATAACTTCGGACAAGAGCAGGATATGTAAATGATAAAATGTAGAGCAGAACTTGAAAGGGTTTAGAAAGAGAGTTTTAACAACCTAACATGTTTATCTTAATTATTGTGGCTGACTGTAGTCCCTGTTTTCAGCACAAGATGTTAACTTTTGTCCCTGTGATTTGTCAAAACCATCTGTCTGTGAGCTTCTTTAGCTAAAGTCTGTCAACATTAGCTGCATTTACCTGAAAAAGTTATTACAACAGCAAACAGGAGTGCATCTAAGTTGCTTTTTATTTACAGAAGGGAAAACTTCTGCTTTTACATCACGCCACATGTTCACAAAGTTTTGTCTTTGGCTTTCAGGTGGTTTCTCACTGAGCTGTGACTATTGGGAGACTATAAGTGACACATTTTTTAAAATCTCTTAGTGTTTGCTATCAAGCGACCAACAAACAGTCTGGCTGCATTTTGAGCAACGAGTTTTTGAAAATGACTATTTCTTTTTATGTGCACAGCTCGCAAAAATTTAATTCTTTACTGTGCACATTATTTTGTTGCCCACATCGGTAGCCTCCCCCAACTGTTATGATTTATTCTACTATAGCACACATTCAATATTAAGATAGGCAGATTTGGAGATTTTGTGAGTTTTTTGAGGGAAAAGTTGTTGCACAATTTTTTTTTTGAACATGTTCAAAACTCTAGTGTCAGGGCTCCACCCCTCTGGGATAAGAACCCTGCAAAAGTTTGGAGACATTTAGGAGACTCCTTCAGGGATGGTTTTCACCAGCTTGTTGCAGCCTAGTGATTTTTCCCCCCTGTTTAATAAAAAGTGTAACATGTATGTGTCGTTTTCATTCTTTTAAGCAAAAACAGAGCTTTCCTGCACACACATACTGAGTTTTTTTGTGAGCTTCATTAGTTTTTTTGTGGTTGTTTTGCATGAGCTAAGGGCAAAAACAGAAAATGTGGTGTCTGAATGGAGCTCCTGTGAAAGTGGAGGAATCCCTACAGACAAAGCTAAAAGCAACATTGGCGGTTTCAGTTTCTGCCGGTGAGGCTGTTTGGAGCAGCAGTTTCTCCACAGCAAGACGTTTTAGGTTGTTACTGCAGGAAACTTAATTTAGAGGCGCTTGTTGAAGGATCTAGTCTTGGACTCAGAGTCTTTACTTCACCAGTGTGTTGCTGTTATTTGTCTGAAAAAGTGTCTGTTCTTGTCCTTGCATGTGCTCATCTACAGCCTTGTCTGCCACTCAAAGTTGTCCATCTCATACAACTGCTGAAGTTCTCCCATTTTTTCATACCGTGTTCTTTTTCTCTTGTCTGGATAGATTGAGGGTCAAGGACACGGAGCGTTGTTTGACTGTAAATGTAGTCCTGATGGGCAGCACTTCGCAGCCACTGATTCCCACGGTCACCTGCTCATCTTTGGCTTTGGTTCCAGCAGCAAGTATGACAAGGTATACCATTAGATTTATCTGTATTAAACACACACATTGATCCACATTGATTACTAACAAATAACAACAAACACCCTCTGTGTCTTTAACCTTTAACCTGCTTCAGATAGCAGACCAGATGTTCTTTCACACTGACTACCGGCCACTGATCCGGGATGCTAATAATTACGTGCTGGATGAGCAGACTCAGCAGGCGCCACATCTAATGCCCCCTCCCTTCCTGGTGGACGTGGACGGGAACCCTCACCCCCCCAGATACCAGCGTCTGGTTCCTGGCAGGGAGGGCTGCAGGAATGAGCAACTGATTCCTCAGATGGGGGTCACCTCCTCAGGTACAGTCCTGAGAGTCGTTCTGCTCTGCCCTCGTCTGCTTGTTCTCTTCAGAGCAGATCTGTGCCTGGTGTTGCTGTTATCTCCCCTCTCATCAGTGCACATCAGCCAGTCACAAACACGTCAGGATGATCTTAATGCTTCCATATGTGCATAAGGAGAAGCGTTTGCTGACACCATACTGGAAAAGGCCAAGAAAATCAGATTAGTTAAAAAATGTTGGCAAACCACAAACAGAAGTAATCAGTAGATGATAAAACGCCTCAGTAGAACACAACGGAGGCTGGAAATTCAATTTAACATCGTGCAACTTTAATGCTGTAAATATTTTTATGCAACTTTTCATTTCTTTCAATGAGAACACAGCATGATACTGACAGAGGAGACATTTTTTCCTTTTTGTTCTGATTTATCATTCGCATACTTTTTACTTCTGTCCTGCAGGCCTGAACCAGGTGGTGAGTGAGCAGGCGGTGGACGGTCCGAGTCCTCTGGACACCATGATTCAGAGGCTGCAGCAGGAACAGGACCAAAGGCTTGGAACGAATGATGCCTCTGCTGCTGCAGCTGCTGCAATAAACACCAGGTCCAGCAGAGGTAGGAGCAGGACTCAACAGAACGTTACACCCTCTGGAGTGGGGGCATCTGATTATTAAGGTTCATGTTGTGCAACTCAGAGTAACTACCGTATTTATTCATGCATAATGCAATCTCAAGTATGATGGAACACCCCCTCCCCCCTTTTTTTTGCTTAAAAAGCCTAAAAATATCTAATCCTCATGTATAATGCTACCCCTAATTTCATACAGACCTCAGTGTTTTTCAGCCTTTGTGGTCTGTATACGTATCAGTAAAATTGTCATGATTGTGATATTATTTATTGTGGTTTCAGAAGCTGCTTTCTCCATAATCAAATGTTGCTCTCAGGAACTCCAAACTCCTTGTCTGCTGCACAATTGTTCTTCAGCAAATTTTATGATTTTGAGCTTTGTAGCAGCGTCATAGGAACATCGGTGTTTCGAATGAGAAGACATGTTCTAGCAGAGGACTTTGCAGACAGTCGACCAGAGGGCGCCAGGGGGAAAAGAACCGCCGGGTGGCGCTTTGCTTAGTTTAGCTTAGCATAGCTTCATGTAAGTTACAATTCTCCTGTACACGTTTTGTGTGGTGGAAATTTACTCCCGTGCACCCCAAATTTATGGATGATTTTTGGAGTGAATTTTTTTGCATTATATGTGAATAAATACGGGACACACAGTGCAGTAGAAGAGGCTTAATGTTGTAAACCTGGCAGAGTCTGACCCGGCCCGAACACATATAATTTTTTTCTGGCCCGACTTGAAACAACCAATTAACTGTAATTGGAAGCCCGAACCCCAAAAAAAACCCAACATTTTTTTTAATTAAGCTTTTACTGCTTATGTAAGCATGATATCATCATGATGATGATGGCATGATAGTTTTAAAAACGTATTTCAAAAAAAGGAAAATATAAGATTTCTTGTTTATTAACAAGAGTCAGCGAATTATTATAGTTATTAACGGTTGGCGGACGTGCACGTCCACTGACGCAGCGGCTGAGTCCAGTTGGGCTTCAGATGGATTTCTGGCAGTGATCCATCTGAAGTTTAAATGAACTTTTTTTTACCGGTTAGCGCGCGGTCAAACGGACGTGCACGGCTGGTGATCCAAGCTGGATCACCAGCCGCGCGCTGCAATCAAAAGCCTGACACCGACCCGCCCATCAAGCACATTATTTTGGGCCGGGTTAGAAATGACAGTTCTAAAACCTGGATAAAATGGGAGGTCATGATCACTCCCCCAAATAATTTTTCAAGCACAGGCTCTTTAAGAAAGATTTTTGGAGATCTTTTGAGAAACAAAACTGAGTTTTTGTGGAAACAGAGTATACCGTCATGACACCACTTCAGCCCAGATCAAAGGTACATTCAACTTTGAACATTTCAAACCGCTCCCATTTATTTCAAAGGAAGCAATTTCACAGTTTATTGTAGTTCACTATCAGATCAAAATAAAACTGAAAATAGATTTTGATGTTTAAAATTTATGGACCTTATAAAAAAACGGTAATGTTTTGTCACCGATAAAATTGACTTTAGAAAGAAACTATATTTTTATGTGACAGTTTCAAAAACTTAACAGCTCCAATGTGAACTGGTTGAGTTTTTATTAGTTTTCTGATTCAGAATGTCGGATGTTTCAAACTAACACAACAGGAAGGAAAATGTTTTTTAAAGCTGAAGTCTTGGAAAGTTTAAAAAGTAAGTAGTTTTGGTTAGATCAGTTCAAAACGAAGATCTTGCACAGTTAGCGCTCAGAGTGGGTGCTGGGGCGGGCTCTGCCACATTTCCTGCGCGTGATTGGCTGATAACAAGTTTTAGTGTTTATGTATGTATATATATATATATATATATATATATATATATATATGCATGTTAGTCTGCCTTCAGGCCCAGGCCTCCCTTGCAAAAGAGATCTCAATGGGATTTGCCTGGTTAAATAAAGGTCAATAATAATGTACTGATTATTAATCACCTCCAAAATCAGCATATTTTTAATGCTCCTTACAAAACATCTGTTCCTCTTTGACATCCCTTTAGGATCTGTGGGTTCTCCCACCGAGGTGCACTCTCCCCCTAATGTTGGTCTGCGACGCAGCGGGCAGATTGAAGGTGTCCGGCAGATGCACAGTAACGCCCCCCGCAGCCAGATGGCCACCGAAGGAGACCTGGTGGCCTGGAGCCGCAGGGTGCTCGTTCCTGAGCTGGAGGAGGCCTTTATCAGGTAATCTCCTCAACAATACACTCAGTGCTCCTAAAATCAAACTTTAAAACACAACTATACTAAAATAATTCACACTTTTCTTGTCATGATTACTCTAATAAACCTGATAATGTGTGCAGGAGACAGGTGAACTGGCGTGAAGCTAAAGGAGAGGAGGAGATCAACATATATCAGTCAGAAAGAAGGAGGCGTACACTCCACTCACTTCCCAAGGAGAGCAGGGTGCAGACAATAATGTTCCTCCTCTGAATGGTTTCATTCAGCATCTTTTAAACAAAAACTCACCACTCGTTTCTCTGCTTGTGAAGGTTCACCCACCGTCGGAGAGCGTGGTCGATGAGGGGAGGAAGAGTCAAGGAAACCACGGCTACCAAACTCGAGCTGCAGTGGAGGAGACTAGCCGTCAGAGCGCCGAAGCTGCTGATGACGATGATAGTTCCTCAGAGGTTGAAGTAATGCTCAAAGTGCTTTATTTTGGATCTAACGTAGTTCTGTATTTGGAATTGGGGAATTCTTGAAATGCAAAACTTGTCATCTATTCCCTTGTAATGTGTTTTTATACTTTTATCTCTGTTGCTCTAATATAAGATACCGTACATGTTTTCAGGGAGAGGTGGAGGTGCGGCAAATCAACGGATACTCAGAGGAAGAAAAAGACGAGGAGGAAAAGGAGCCCTGGCCAGATGACCACAGCAGTTCAAGGTAATTTTTTTATATTTGTTCTCCTTTCTTTTACTAAATGCACATCAAAACACAACCTAAGCGGATTCTCACACTTGTATTTTTTAAGGAGATGTGACTTTTTTTTTTAAGGATGGACACAATCTCCTGAGGTTTTGATTAAATACAACAGGATTACAGTACAACAAACCCCATTTCAGTTCTGTCTTTAGGCCTCTCTTTAGTGCAGACGGTTTCATGGAGGTGCATAGTTTCAGCAGGGTGTGGAGATCCTACCAAGTTACAAAAATACACATTTTAAAAAAACTCAAGATTGTACAGACATAAATAACATTTACCTACCATGTGTGTTTCCCCATAAAGTTATATCGTATTTTTCACCCTAAAAGTCACATTTTTTTGCGTAATTTGCATGCCCTGTGTCTTACACGCCGAAGCGACTTATTTATGGATTTTGTCCCATATTTAAAAAACAATGTTTGGCTGAGATATGACCGTTTTCATTCATTCTGACTGAAAATATTGAACACTACCATTTTCAGCCACTAGATGGCAGTCGAGCAAGTTGGCATGCCGTTGCATCATGTAATAGGTAAAAGTGGCTATTAATGACACAATCGTCTTGCCATAGTCTGCCACCATTGTCTGCCTGGAGCAACCGTCAGATCAGCTTCATTTCGCTGCACCGCCCAGACGAAATGCAGCTAATTTGACCATTAAAGTGCATTTATTAAGTAAAAGTTCAACTGAGACACACCTTTGTTATAAAGTTGAGCAAACAAATAATTGTTTTTAGGTGTTTATCTTGTTAAATTTAGAAGAAATGGGCAACAAGTCACCCTTTGCTCTTTCATGTTTCTGTGTATTGGCCTTTGAAGTGCAGCTGATTTAACCGTCAAAGTGCATTTATTAATGAAAAGTTAGACTGAGACACACCTTTACTATAATTTCGAGCAAACAAATAATTGTTTTTAAGTGTTAATCTTGTTTAATTCTTGTTTAAGTCCTCCCATGCATGCTCCCTCTGCTGCCATTTGGCAGCCAATCGATTTTTGGCACAACACCGGCCCACATTTCCGGGTTCGGCCCATGTTTCCGGGTTGTCAGCAGTGACGTGTAACAAACGCAACCTGTCAGTGGTGACGCATAATAGATGCGACGTATACGGCGAAGCCACGTATTTATGGATTTTTCCACTTTATTAGACACATTTGGACTGATGCGACTTATAGGGCGGAGCGACGTTTACAGCGGAAAATACAGTAATAGCTATCAAAATATGTAACATTTCAATGTATTGAATTTTTTTAATTGTTTTGGGGTTACTTTAGGTCAGACTCAATATCCATTTCACACAGACGGTTGGAAATGTATTCATCGATGTTCGAATGTAAATAACTGACTTGTAATTGTTGGTAACAAAACATGACTCTGCTGCGTTGCTCATTTATTACACATTTTGTGGTAATGAAGCAGGAATATTTAGTGGTCATTTTTATCATTCATGATTCACAAATAATAAAAAAAATAAATAAATAAATTCAGCCTTTCTGTGTAGCGTTGGCATAGTGTACTTCATCTCTCGCACCGTGACTTTTGGAGCTAGATACCAGCTTTAGTTTCCTCAACCCATAAGAGAAGTAGGTAAAGAAAATGGTTGGATGAAAAATCACATATTTTGACAGCTATCATAGCTTTAAAAGTAAGAAATTTTAAAGCTAAATTGACAATATAATTGTCTTGTGGCAATCGGATGTACAAATGATCAGGGGGGCACTCTGTTTCTTTCAAAAATAGAGACTTAAAAGACTAAACGCAGTTAATCTCTAAGTACCAGCAAAGTTTCTGGTACAGTCTCAGGTTCCTGGCTGCCTGCCTGTCGCTGTACTGGGAGCTTCCACGTGGGTCATGCCCTTCTGTTTGGATAACTTGTCTCTCAGTCTCCCCAGTTAATGATTGACTGGTTGGCCCGCTGTTTGTGTCAGACTCTAGTTTCGGCTGAACGCGTCATCGTGTTTCTCTGACCGCCTCCATCCTAACGTGTGTCATCCAGGTGTCCTGCTCTTTGGGCTCCACGAGGTTTGGTGTTAAGTCCTGCTTGGAGGTTTGCCGGTGCCTCGCAGTCCTGGCTCAAACCTTGACCTCTAGTGTGGTGCAATAGTCTCATTCTAACCTTTGACAGAGAGGGACGGTTTAAATGGACTAGCATGACTAAGCTCTACATAGCATTTACAAAAAGACGAAAGATAAAAGAATTACTGTCAATCAATGTTTAAACTGATTCACATTTTGATGAAATCTAGAACAGCATCAGCACCAGTATTAAAAATCACAGAATCCCCATAAACTCTTTTTTTTTTTGTAGCTCAAATCACTAATTTCCCATGGATTTTAAATGTGCTATAATTGCTAATAAGCGTAGGCAGTAAAAAGCAAAACAAAGTGGAAAAGCACATTTTTACTTCTTACTTCTGAGGTACAATGAAGGCAGCATGATTTGAATTATATTATTCAGTGTCACTCACTGAATTAAACATTTTCAAACCTAGCAGGCCTGAACAATGTCCCAGGGTTGTTTTACCAACTTGATAGTGACAGTACTCAATCACAGGATAAACAATATATTTTATGACCTTGAATGCGTTGCAGTGATTACTCCAGCGATTACTCTGACTGGACAGCAGATGCAGGGATCAACCTGGAACCGCCCAAAAAGAGCGTAAAAGTGAAAAAGAAAAGCAGCAGCTCTGAGGAGGATGGAGAGAAGAAGAGGGAAGGGAAGAAAGAGAAGAAGAAAGACAAGCCTGACAAAGATGGCTCATTACCAAAGAAGATAACGCCAAAGGAGAAGAGGAAGGTTTGTCATCAGCAGTATTAGTATTTTCAACGCTGTAGTAGTTGTTTGATTCAGTTATTGTCATCAGTATTAAAATAAGAGATGTTTTCGAGTTGATAGAAGCCTATTTGCTGTATTCATCCTGTTTTGTTTCTTTCAGAGGACTGAGTTTCAGGAGCAGGGGCTGACTCTGGAGGAATGGCTTCCGTCTGCCTGGATCACAGACACAGTTCCTCGGAGATGTCCATACATACCTCAGATGGGAGACGAGGTAAATGGCATCAGATACACTAACACAGGGGGCGACATAAGCGGTTTCTGGTTGTCCAAGACAACCTGTTTTTGTCTCGAGGTTGCCTTGAGGTTGTCTGGTGGACAACCTAGTGAAATATAGATGGATTAAAGTTTTCTATTGATGCAACAAGTTTAAGTCATCTTTAAAAGTGATAGTGGGGGAAAATTGTGGTCTTGTTAAAGCCATTCCATCTAATGATGATACAAGGATTAAACTGATGCAGCTTTCTGCAAATAAAGCGAACCACAGTCAGAATTTTACCCAATCAGAGCAGAGCAGGGCGGTCGTGATGTCTGATACACGGCAGGTGGGAGACAGACTGAAATTGACATGACGTCAATCAATCCAGAAGGCTCGTCAGCAATTGACCAATCGACAATCGCAATTTGTCCCAAAGTGCAACGCCCCTTACCATCAGGAGCTGCACCCCCTTTTCCTCCGACAACATTGTTGGGGGTTTTGCATTATGAACGCTTTGTGGTCAAAAAGATTTCATGAAAAATCATTGGAAAAAATGGTTAAATATTGTCAGTGTCAGTGGGGATCATGCAGTTAAGCCAGCATTCCCCTGAGCGTTTAGAGGGTGGAATAGAAGTTTATTCCATTTTCAAAACCTAAAACAAGTCTGGAAAAATGTAAAAGGTGGATAAAGGTCTGCAACCGACCCCATGAGCAGCTGAATACAACAGTTATAAACAGGACCGACTACATGTTCGTCTGTACAAAGGCAACTGCAAGGAAATCTTAGATTATTTTCTCATAATTACATTGAATGCTTAATGATTGAATTAAAGGTTAATGCTTAAAGCTAGTTGTGCTCACACAGTGAAGATCTGGGAGAGAGTTGTGTAAGCTAGACTTAGACGAGAGGTGACTGTGAGCAGCAGTATGGTTTCATGTCAAGAAAGAGCACCACAGATGCAATATGTGCTTTGAGGATGCTGATGGAGAAGAACAGAGTTTCAGAAAGAACTCCATTGTGTCTTTGTGAATTAATAATAAAAAAAAATCACATGACAGGGTGCAGAGGGAGGAGGTGTGGTATTGCATGAGGAAATCTGGGGTGGCAGAGAAGTATGTTAGACTGGTACAGGACATGTATGAGGACAGTGGTGAGATGTGATGTAGGAGTGACAGATAGCTTCAAGGTGGAGGTGGGAGTGCATCAAGGATTGGCTCTGAGCTCCTTCTTGTTTGCTCTGGTGATGGACCGACTAACAGATGAGGTCAGGAAGGAATCCCCATGTACTATGATGTTTGCAGATTATGTTGATGCTCTATGGTGAGAACAGGGAACGGGTGGAAGAGAACTTGGAGAGGTGGAGGTATGCACTTGAAATAAAAGGAATGACAGTCAGCCGTAGTAAGACAGAGTACATGTGTGTGAATGAGAGGGAGGCCGGTGGAACAGTGAGGCTATAAGGAGCAGAGGTCACAAAGCTGCAGGACTTCAAGTACTTGGGGTCCATAATCCAGGAACATGGGGAGTGGGGTAAAGAAGTGAAAAAGAGAATCCAGGCAGGATGGAGTGGATGGAGAAAAGTTTCAGGAGTGATTTGCGACAAGCGTGTCAGCAAAGGTCAAAGGAAAAGTTTACAAGACAGCTATGTTGTCTGGTCCGGAGACAGAGACATGGACAAAAAGACAGGAGGCAGAACTGGAAAAGGTAGAAATGAAGATGTTGAGGTTCTCCTTAGGAGTGACAAGAATGGATAAAATTAGGAATGAGACCATCAGAGGTACAGCACAGGTTGAACAACTGGGAGATAAAGTTAGAGAGGCCAGACTGAGATGGTTTAAACATGTCCAGAGGAGGAACAGTGGGTATACTGGTAGAAGGATGTTAGAAATGCAGCTGCCAGAAAAAAGACAAAGAGGAGATATATGGATGCAGTTAGAGAGGACATGGAGGTAGTTGGAGTGAGGACAGAGTGAGATGGAGGAGGATGACTCGCTGAGGGAAAAGCCGAAAGAAGAAGAAGAAGAAGCTTAAAGCTAACTGTGCTTTGTTTTGTGTGTTTTGTGTATAGATATATGTTGCAATTCCTGGTTGCACAAGTTTAGTCTTTGTTTGTGCTCAACTGATTTTATACAAAACATTTATTACGTTGTAATGTCAAATTTACACTCTTAATACACACTGAATTTCACTGTAAGGCAAAAATGCCTCACCAACTTCTTCAGGTAACGCTGTGAGCTTCACTACCTCCATCTTTACAGCTTTACTGCTTTATGTAACTTGTAACCTTTTACTAAGGTCAAGCACACAGTATACTCCTCTTTATGTGAAAACCTTTGAAAGTGACCTGCATGTAGGAAATCTCAAATGTGTGGTATTGGTGTCTGGGATTTTTTCAGTTAAAATATTTTTTCAGCTTTAATCCCTGCCTTAAATACACTGCGAGTGCTTCTCTTGCAAAGTCTGATGAGGAGGAAGAGGATGAGGAAAACGAGGAAGCTCCTTTCGAGCAGCTCCTAAAAGAGTCGGCCACTCAGTATCTTTTTAAATTCCAATCTGTCAACAAGATGACTGACTGACACCATTTATACATAGTAAACTTCGTATATAGTGCAATATACTTGTTAAATTACATTTTTCTTGAGATTATTTGCCTTCTTTATTGTAAAGGTTGTGGACAACCAAAAAAATTGACAGACAACCAGATTCTGTCAAGAGGTTGTCTGCTGGACAGCCTGGAAAATTACTTTATGTTCTTACTGTTTTTGTTGTATTTTAAGCCTGTATTCTGTATTTCTGTGAAACATTTTGTGATTTTATCTATGAAAAGTGCTACAGTAGTCTCGCTACTTTGTGGTTCGACTTTCGCAGACTCGCTCTTTTGCGGTTATTCAAAGTAAGATTGGACATGACACACAATTGGCTGATTGATGGATGAGCCATAGATTGTTTATTTAAAATAAATTATTTAAACTGATTCAGCACATGTGTGCAGTCCACAGGTGCAGGGAGAAGCTCCATCCTGCAGCCTGTCATGATCGCCACTCTCTGCCACCTGCGGCTCTCTGCCACGCCCACATTTCTCCACCGGCTGCAGCTCCTTTGTGAAGGGTTAATGCTGTCCAGCTACACCGATCGACTTTTGTCTTCCAATTTAAAATTCAAAGTATCATATTTTCCGCCGTACTTGTCGCACCGCCCTATAAGTCGCATCAGTCCAAATATGTCTAAAAAAGTGGGAAAATCTATAAATATGTTGCTTCGCCATATACGCCACATCTATTATGCGTCACCGCTGACGCGCCGCGTTTGTTACTTGTCAGCGCTAATAATCCGGAAATGTGGGCCTGTGTTGTGCCACAAATCGATGGGCTGCTAAATGGCAGCCGTGGGAGTGTGCACAGGAGGACTTTAACAAGAATTTAACAAGATTAACACTTAAAAACAATTATTTGTTTGCTCGAAATTATAGTAAAGGTGTGTCGCAGTCTAACTTTTCCTTAATAAATGCACTGTGATGGTCAAATCAGCTGCATTTCGCTGGGGCGGTGCAGCTGGTTTGGCGGTTGCTCCAAGCAGCAATCAGAACGAAGGTAGGGGGACTTTGGCAAGCCGATTGTGTCATTAATAGCTGGTGAAGATTCTCAGTCATCCAGGACATGGTAAATTTTAAAAAGTTCAAGACAAAAACAAGTATAAAGTATAATAAATAAAGTCCTGTTGTTTTTGTCTTGAACTTTTTTGAATTTGTCATTATAGCCACGTTTACCTATTACATGATACAATGGCATGCCATACTGCTCGACTGGCATCTAGTGGCTGAAAATGGTAGTGTTCCATTTTTTTTTTCAGTCCGAATGAATGAAAACGGTCAAATCTCAGCCAAAATATGGTTTATAAATATGGGGGAAATCCTTAAATACGTCACTTCGGCCTATGAGTCGCAGGGCATGTAAATTATGCAAAAAACACAACTTATAGGCTGAAAAATATGGTATGTCACATCGTAAAATCATCATAATCTCAAAATATAAAACTGTTAAGTTATTTCTAATTATTTTAGAACTTATATGTTCAGTTGTTTCAGTGTAATTGATCAAGAAGTACATTTCTGCTCCGTGCTGTATTGGCTTTGTGAAGGTTAACCCTCTGATGTTCTGCTGCGCTTCTCTTCTCTACGATTTCAATTTAAATACTGTGACAGTTTAAATAAACAATCCAGGCAGCATGGAGCGGAGATCATGGCATTTTGTTCTCTTTTAGAGCGTTTAGAGTTTAGAAACATTATTTAGAATATTCCAAGAGTGTGGGCAGGATTTATAAAGCCTTAATAAATACTAAAATAAACTTCTACTTACTACTACTACTATTTGCACTACTATCCCTACTTCGCGGTTTTGCACTTATCAATAAACGAGGAACTAAATAAAGTTTACTTACTTTCATATGTAAATGAACCAAGAATTACAATGATCTGTTACCTTTTTAATTTATTTGCTTTTGTATTGAATCAAAAATGCAATAAACAGAACCCAAAACCGGACACCCCCCCCCCCCCCCCCCCAAAAAAAATAAATAAATAAATAAATAAATAAATCATTTATTTAATATATTTTTAATGAACTTATTGTCCGGCCCATGGGCCACCAGTTGAATAGCCCTGGTTTAGTTAAAAGCTCTTCCTTAACATTTCAAAAAGGCTAAAAGTACTAAAAATAAAAGCCTAATTAAGATTTAGATCTCTCAACACATAAAACTGGTGAACTGACTGACATTCTTCTGAGAATAAAACATGTACAGGAAAAATTCACGCCTCACAGTTAATGATCCATGGCATGTTGGGTTTTTGATTTCAGGTGTACTACTTCCGGCAGGGTCATGAAGCTTATGTGGAGATGGCCAAACAAAAAAAGATTTTCAGCATCAATCCTAAGAAACAGCCCTGGCACAAGATGGAGCTACGGGTAAGAAATGACTTGACACAAATGGGTTTCTGATAGTTAGCCAAGAGGGTGGTTCATGTTTAGATGGGCTGTGTCCGAAAACTGGTTCATTGTGAACCCACAAATAAACAGTCAACCTCTTTTGTGGGTTCACAACCAATGAGAAAAAAAAGAAAGTCACTATAAATAAGAGACAACCATAAAACAAAAATCATTTGGACCGTTTTAAGCACTTTGGAGTAACAGTCAGTCAGAAATGAGTAAACAAAGATCTTCAACCCAAACTGAGTAACTTGCTCTTTTATAAAATAAACTGTGAGGCATTTCTTGTTTGAGAATCTAACATCTAGACTCAAGGTTTTGGAGCTGTAAATAAATTCTGTGACAATTCACTTCAAAATGCTGACTGGCCATAAAAATGACTCAAAAGGCGGTCCCTCAAGTAATGGCAAAGTAATGACGCCATTGCTCTTGGAATGAAAAGACAGCGTAGCAGTTCCTATAATGCATGTTTAGCTGTAACCTGTAGGGATGTTTTCATTTACTGCTGTTTGCTCCTGTATCTAATTCAATAGGATCATTTTCTTCTTCCTTCTGTTCTAAAACTTTCCTCCACTTAAATAAAATATATTTGCTGAGTAAGTGTAATTTCTGTATATCAAAAAATTTTTAGAAGGCTGAAGCGCATCCTCCCCATTTCTAGTAACACATTTGTTTTAGACATCAGTGCACTGAAAGCTCACTGCGTCTTGCTGGACTCAGCAATATGATCTTTATTCATCTGTTCCCTCTTCAGGGGTCTCCACAGCGAGTCATCCTCCTCCATCTCACTCTGTCCTCACTCCATCTACCTCCATGTCCTCTCTAACTGCATCCATAGAACTCCACTTTGTCTTTTTTCTGGCAGCTGCATTTCTAACATCCTTCTACCAGTATAACTACTGTCCATCCTCTGGGCATGTCCAAACCATCTCAGTCTGGTCTCTCTAACTTTATCTCCAGTTGTTCAACCTGTGCTGTACCTCTGATGATCTCATTCCTAATCTTATCCATCCTTGTCACTCCTCAGCAGAACCTCAACCTGACCTCTGCTCCTTGTAGCCTCACTGTTCCACCAGCCTCCCTCTCATTCACACACATGTACTCTGTCTTACTACGGCTGACTTTCATTCCTCTTCTTTCATACCTCCACCTCTCCAAGTTCTCTTCCACCCATTCCCTGTTCTCACCACAGATCACAATGTCATCTGCAAACATCATAGTCCACGGGGATTCCTGCCTGACCTCATCTGTTAGTCGGTCCATCACCAGAGCAAACAAGAAGGGGCTCAGAGCCAATCATCACATCTCACCACTGTCCTGCTGTCCTCATACATGTCCTGTACCAGTCTATACTTCTCTGCCACTCCAGATTTACTCATTCAACACCACACCTCCTCCCTCGGCACCCGTTGTATGATTTTTCTAAATCCACAATGCTGCCCCACCCCCCACACTGACAACCTAACCAGTCAACTCATCTGGTCATTCTGTCTGAATGCTCACCAACGTATGTCGAGCTGTTTCTCTTGTTCCCGACACAAACCACTGCAGAGTTTTCTAGATGAGCAGGGGTGACCTGTGCTGCATTAGAAGTGCCTGGGAAAACGAAACTCCTTGTGAATTAGGTGCAGATACTGAGAAAATAGTGGTTAAAATTTGAATTTTTCCCCATATATACCGGTACTTATTTTGATATCACTCTAGGGACAACCTGTGATACATCACATATACTTGATATATCGTCCACCTCTAGTTGCAGTATGTAAAATGTAGAATTTTCCTAATATTTTTTATTTAATTTGCTCAGTCAAAGGTGGCTTTACTCCCTGATTCCCACTTTTTATTAACTAAAAACACCATGTAAATAATTCTCAATGTGTACACCTAACAACTAAACCCCCGTGGTTTGGGGCTTTCCTATATTACAGTATTTTTAGTTAAACCTTTCAGATAAAAGTGCCCCATGCTATGTGAATGATCTTCATTGAGAGGATGTCCTCATTTGGATGTTTTTCTTTTTTTTAAATTAGGAGCAAGAGTTGATGAAGATTGTCGGCATCAAATATGAGGTTGGTTTGCCCACACTGTGCTGCCTGAAACTGGCCTTTTTGGACCCAGACACCGGGAAGCTGACAGGCGGCTCCTTCTCTATGAAGTAAGGATCTGGCTACACTCAGAAATACAAACACGCTTAGACTGAGATATTTAGATTTGAACCAAGTGACGACTCAGTTCTGATGCTACAACACCACTGTCCTGTTAACTTTACATATGTAGCTCCTGTGTGGTTTGTAAACGTGAGAAATTAGTTTTTTAAATATTCACTTTGACTGTTTTCCGCAGTTTAATGCATACATATTGTCAAACGAACGAGCGCCCACTGTTTGATCTGTATTAGTTCTCTTTCACAGGGCAGAACATTTTAATACTGTATCCAAAATAACACGAGATTTTGTTTTATCAATTGTAACAATTTAAAACCATAGACGCAACCGTTTTTGTTATAAAGTTTTGGTCACAGAGTAAAATTGTCTCCTTGCAGGTACCACGACATGCCTGATGTTATCGACTTCTTGGTGTTACGGCAACAGTTTGACAACGCCCGAAAGAGGCAGTGGAGTATCGGTCCGTTTTTAACCCCAAAATACTTTAATCTCATTAGAAATATCACATATATCAAATGTTTTTAGTATAAAGTAGTAGTTTAAAGATTTGAATAGTTTATGGTGTGTGTGCACAGGTGACAGGTTTCGGTCAGTGATTGATGATGCCTGGTGGTTTGGGACCATTGAAAGCCAGGAGCCCTACCAGTCCCAGTATTCTGACAGCTTGTTCCAGTGCTACAACGTCTGGTATGACCACAGCTCGTGTTTGGTCTGGGTTGCCGGTCAAATCACACAAACGTGTTTACAAAATATCCAACGATGTTCAGTCAGGTCATCTGGAGGGTTTCTTTTTTTTTGTTAAGATGTTTCGTCCTTCATCCAAAGGACTTCATCAGTCTGAGGAGCCACAAACAAACTCAGTCCCACAAGCAGCGCACTCCCATAGTGAACCAACCAGTTTTATGGTGAAAAGATGGTTTCTGGGGCCCGCCCTCTCCCCTGTCAACTCTTCTGAGGCAGCCATAGCCAAAGTGGTTCACAACATTAAAGTTCATGCTCAATAATCCAGATTAAAAAAAAAATCCAACAATGTTCAGTCAGGTCATCTGGATGGGATTATTGAGCATGAACTTTCATGTTTTGAACCACTTTGGCTATGGCTGCCTCAGAAGAGTCGACAGGGGAGAGGGCGGGCCCCAGAAACCATCTAATCACCATCAAACTGGTTGGCCCACCATGTGGGTGTGCTGCTTGTTGGACTCAGTTTGTGGTGGCCCCTTGGACTGATGAAGTCTTTTGGATGAAGGATGAAACGTCTCAACAAAAAAATTAAACCATCCAGATGACCTGACTGAACTTTGTTGGATTTTCTACCTGGATTATTGAGCATGAACTTTGATGTTTACAAAATATAATTTTCTTGTGATTGTGATTTTTAGCTTTTGCGTTAGCTGGATCTGTTGATCCTGATGTTTGAACAGCAATACGGCCGTTAACTCCAGAGAGGGCCGAGATGAAAACTAATAAAACACATTTCTTAGAAAAACTCATTATGCTTCATATAAAGAAGACAAAGCTAAAATTAATTGCATTAAAAGTGAAGTGTCAGGTGTGATAAAAGTTTTCACTGATATTTACTGGTAGTAAAAAAAAAGAAAAAAGGTTTGCAGGCTCAGTCATCCAGGTAGATAAAGAAACTGATCCAGATTAAATGATTTAACCTTTTTTGTTGTTATCTACCTGGATGATTAAGCTTACAAACTTTTCTTCTGAACCAGTCTGGCCTTTGTGTCCTCAGCCTGTGTCTGTGAGTAGCAAGTCGACCGTCTGGCCTAAAACATTTGATTGTTGTACATGATGACTGATCCAACATTTTTCAGTCAGGTCATCTGGACAGTTTCTTTTTTTGTGCTGAAATGTTTCACCTTCCATCCAGAAGGCTTCATCAGTCAAGGAAACACACAACACAAAACTGATTCTTCCCCCAACAGCTTACTCCAAAGTGGAACAAACCAGTTATGTTGGTGCTAAGCTGGTCTCTTTGGAACGCCCCCTCCTCTGGTGCTGGCCCTCTCCCTCGTTGACAATCATGTCAAACTGGTTCAAAACCAACAATGTCCATGCTCAATAATCCAGGTATACAATCCAACAATTTCACAACAACGTTTCAGCACAAAAAAGGAAGAAAGAAAGAAAGAAAATGTCCAGATGACCTATTGTGTTTCCCCTAGTTAGCTTGCCATGGCGGGGTGCTCATCTCATCCATGATTTTTGCTGATGGGGGGACGGAGACATGTCTGAGCACAGCTTGTACTAACAGTTTTGAGCGGGAGCGTTCAACATGAGGGAAGAGGCAATGTGAGTGCTGCCTTTGGCTTTAGCTAGAGAGCCTGTATTTTTCTGCCGCTACCTTAGTGAAATGTCAGTGCCGGGTGGGGGTGGGAGAGGTAAGTTCAGTTTGGTAGGCGGGGTGCTCAGTTCTGTTGACGGGGTGGGGCACCCCGCCTGTATAATGGTAGGGGAAACACTGACATCTAAAACTCTTAAGAAAACCAAGACCATGATATCTAGTCAACAGGAGTCTGACATCGTGAACATCAGGGAGACAGAACTTGAACAAGTTAAAGAATCCCCTTACCTCGGGTCCTTGTTCACATCAGGCAGCTCACTCAAGCTGCTCCTGCTTTGGAAGAATCCAACTTGTTCGAGAGGACTAATCAGTGTTGCTGCCTACCAAAATTAGACTCGTACGTGCACTTGTCTCGTCAGTCCTTCTCTTGCTGCAGAATCCTCTACTCTGAATTTATTTATTTATTTATTTATTTATTTATAAAATGTATTCATTTTTTATAACAAAACAATTCCATAAACAATAAGAAATACAATCAAAAATAAAATCAAAGGCAGCAGAAAGAAGAAAAAAATCTTATTATATCCGCCCCTTTTTTCCAAACTATTAATTCAAACAATAATAATCTTCAAGTAACAAAACAAAATAAACAACTCTTTCTTGAGCGACGTTTCATACAATACACGTTAAACTACTTCATATATATTTTCAACAATTCAACTTTGATCATTTTCTTAAAAGTACACATCGATTTAACATTTTTAACATCACACTCCAGATTATTCCACAATCCAATTCCCTGGATTGAGGTAGACCGTCTCTTCAAACTAGTTCTGAATTTAGGTTTCATCAATATCTCTATGCTCTTAAGATTATAACAACTTTCTCTTTTAACAAAATTTCTTTGGATATTTAAAGGTAATGTGTTATTATGAGCCCTATACATAACTGATAAAATACTATAATCTACCAAATCATGGAACTTCAATAACTTCAGTTGATAAAATAAATCAGTGGCTGAGAGAAAAGAATATGAACATTTAAAATGACCTGCTACAGACGCCTGCTTCAGGCCCACCGGTCCTTCTACCATAGAGTCCACATCCTCAATGGAGATCATGACTCCCTCCTAAGAGATGAAGAAGAAATTGAAGTGGTTTGCACACACAATGAGGGTCATGGGAACTCTGTCAAATGTGATTGTTCAAGGAACAGCTGGAGGAACCTGTAAAAAGGGTCATCCTCACTTGGACAGAGCTCCCACCCATGTCCTCACCTGTCTTGCTGAGGATCAGCTAAGGTGGTGAATGTTTGTACTGCCCCCATGGAACTAGACTAATAAATAGATTCATGATGATCAATGAGCACCTCAGCACAACATGACAAAACTATAAATGTCACAATAAAGAGGTCAAACTGTTTTTTATTCTATCAAACAACAAGTGCAACTTGACTTGCACATCTGTTCATGAAGCATGTTTGACACTAGCGAGCACAAAGATGATGTAGAAGAATTAGGAAGTAAAATGTAGTTATTTTTAATGCAAGTTTCGGATAGGGATCATCAACTTGCACGTAGCAAAAATGCCAAATAAGTAATACAACCAACAGTGTGATGCTGAGAAATCATTTGAATTGTGTTTCTGATGCAGCTGGGATAATGGAGACACAGAGAAGATGAGTCCTTGGGACATGGAGCTCATCCCAGATGATGGTAAGTATCTTAACATGTTGCTGTCCATGTATGTTTAAACTCTTCCTCTCGCTAAGAAAAACCTTCCTTTTGTTTCTGTTTCTTCGCACGCTTCAGCCACGTTTCCCGATGAGTTGGGCACAAGCGTCCCGCTGACAGAGGAGGAGCAGAAACAGCTGCTGTACGTTCCCCAGGACGGAGAGTGGGGCTGCCGCACACGTGCAGAGGAGTGCGAGCGCATCATGAAGGCCATCGACCAGCTCTGCACGCTCGGTATGATGTCATCGAGCCCGTTTCAATAAAATGGTTGACTGACTGCATGAGCTGGAAGTGAAGTTGTGCCACTGTGACACATTTCTCGGAAATAAGCAACAAAACGCACGACTTCACATAATGACGTCACCTCTGAGCTCATCAGCAGGACTGAGCCAGAGCGGTGGCTCACATGTTGATCAGAATGATCAGAAAACACGCAGAACTAAATGCTGAGATGTGTTTGTATTCTTATTAAGCTGTATGACGTCATATCAGGCACAAACTTTGTTTTGTTGCGGGAAAGTTGGTCTCAGTGCTCCCTCTAGTGGACGTAGGGAGAATAAACCAAGACACTAAACATGCACCTGACTTCATCCTAAAGTGTGTCTCAAAAAGTTAGAATGTCGTGAAAAAGTTCAAAATTTGTTGTCCGTCATTTCAGAAAGAGTAACTCATATATTACAGATTCATTACACACAGAGTGAAACATTTCAAGCTTTTATTTCTTGTCATTTTGATGATTGTGGCTTACAGTTAATGAAAAATCAAAACTCAGTGCCTCATAAAATTAGAATATTCCACTGTCAGCGTGGGCAGGAACCAAGTCCTGCTGGAAGATGAAACCAGCATCTCCACGAAGCTCGTCAGCAGAAAGAAGCATGAAGTCTCTAAAATGACCTGGTAGATGCTGTGGACTTCAGAAAACACAGTGGACCAACACCAGCAGAGGACATGGACCCAAACCATCACCGACTGTGGAAACCACTCTGGACTTCAAGCAACGTGGATTCTGGTCCTCTCCCCTCTTCCTCCAGACTCTGGGACCCTCATCAGCCAAATGACATGAACATTTACTTTCATGTTAAACGAGGACATTGGACCACTGAGCAACAGTCCAGGTCTTTTTCTCCTCAGCAGGTAAGACACTTGTGATGTCTCTAGTTCAGGAGTGGCTGGACTTGAGGAATGAGACAGTTGTAGCTCATGTCCAGGAGTTAATCAGCTGATCAGGGTGAAACACCAGGAGTTTATTATTGAACCTCTTCACAATATTCTAATTTTCTGAGACACTGAATTTATTTTATTTATTTGTAAGACATAATAATCAAAATTACAAGAAATAAAGGCTTGAAATATTTTGATCTGTGTAATGAATCTATGTAATATATTAGTTTCACTTTCTGAAATGACTGATAAAGGAAAACCCCTTTTTTTAATATTCTATTTTTAGACGATCTGTTCAGATGTGAAGCCAGGATCAAACTGAGCTGCACATGTCGGACATTAGTTTGGGACTCAAAACTACAAGGAACTGCAGTTTCAGCCTCACTGAATTCTGAGTGTTTGCAGCGAGGCGTGCGGACACATTTTGCTTGACCAGTTTTATTTATTTTTAAATTATTGCTTATTTTTATGCTCACGGCATGCAAGACTGTATTTTAGGCCTTGCGCAATTATTTTGTTGCCTGCTTACACACTTATCATATTTGCCTTGGCTAGCTTTGTACCCAACTTGGCAACCCTCCATGTGCCATTTATGATTTGATCTACTGAAGAACACTTTTGAAATGAAGAAGAGCAGATCTGGACCAGTTATTCTTTAAATGATTATTATGTATCATCACGTGCTGAGACCTGGATGTACAGGTGTCAGAATACTCTTCAAGAATTACAGAAACTAACTTGATTAGTGTTCGAAACACAAATATAAATGACATTTTTGAACGACGGTCAACACAACAAGCCTCTGAGACTCAGGAAAGAACCCCCTGCAAATATTTTGAGCCGTTTTGTAAACGTCCTCATGAGTTACTAGATGCCAAAAGCCACAGCCCATAAGATGCTGTTTGGTGCTGCAGGTGGCTCACAGAGCAGAATGACTAACAACTATTGTTGGTGTCTTCTGAGAACTTACAGTAGAATAAAAATAAATGAGTTTCTTCTCTTGTTGGGAGACAAAAATAATCCCAGCTTCTTTTAACTTTTGATTAAACAAACACTTTTCACCTTCTTGCTATTTAATTTTAAACTTTGGACTCCAGTAAAATCCTTCTTACCCCACTGTTTTCTTTTTTTTTTTACAGCTGATATGTATTTTCATTGATTCCTATTTTCTATATTTGTCTTTCAACCACTCAACAAACTGGGCTCCATCAGATGTGGCGGCACCATTTGCCTTCCCGGTAGATTTACAAGCGTACCCGACATACTGCACTGTGGTGGCCTACGTCACCGACCTCAGCACCATACGCCAAAGGCTGGTGAATCACTTCTACAGGTATCTGTCCTGGAGCTGCAGAAGATACAGCCTCTGTGAGAGAGAGAGTTTTTAAACCAGGTTGTTTTTAACGTTTCAGACGACTGTCCTCTTTGATGTGGGAGGTGCGGTACATCGAACACAACGCCCAGACGTTCAACGAGCCAGGATCGTTCATCGTCACCACCGCCAAGTTCAACTCGGACCTCATGCTGGCGTTCATTAAGTATGTTGAAAACCAGGGGTTCGCACACTTTCTGGGTGCAGGGACCCCTTACAGGAGGAAAAAAAGGTTCAGGGACCCCCCTCAGAACCTTCATGTTTATTAAATGATTTTTCCAGTTTGTCTCTTTAATGCAGTGGAAATATTTGTGTAACATAAATACTTTAACGCCAAAGTTCATGCTCAATAATTCAGATACAAATCCAACAATGTTCAGTCCGGTCATCTGGACGTTTCCTTTTTTTATTTTTTTTGCTGAGATGTTTCGTCCTTCATCTAAGGACGAAACATCTCAGCAAAAAAAGATAAAGTCCAGGTGACCTGACTGAACATTGTTGTTCTTTAATAGTGTTAATACAATTTTTATACTTCTAAACGTGGGGTATTTTTCTTTCAAGACGCACTTAATTAACAACATTTTAATTTCAACTTCCAAAAATTACAGTTTTGATCAAATTAACACAATTAAAAATCATTTTAAAACTTTATTCTCATAACGAACATAATAAATGTTTTGTTACTTCTTCAAATTATTACAGAAAACTCTTTACTTAAAACTGAACAGAATCATCACAGCAGTAGTCAGACCAAGTAACAGGTTCATTTGTAAACCGATCCATGCCGGAATGCAAATAGTGGTGGGCTGGTGGGGGGTCCGGGGGTCCTCCCCCAGAAATGTTTGAATAAAGTAGATGTGATTTCCTACATTTTGGTGTATTTTAACAAGTTGTTAAACTTCTATGTGCTTGTCAAAAACTTTTTTTTTTTTGCGGACCCCCCCAGTTTGAGAACCACTGCTGTAAAGGATGTTGTTGCAGCAGCATTGGGTTGCATTCTTTAAAAAAAATTAAACAAGTTCACGGATTGTATTTTAAATATTCCAAACTACTTTTGTTGCCCTTCCTGGGGTCACAGTTTAATAAATGTTGTGCTCCTTCTTTTCTCTGCAGGGACCAAGGTCTGACGGACCTCATGCCTCTCTACAGAACTATGAAGAAGGCCACTTTCTCAGACTCTGAAGACGAGGTGTGTTTGCGTACAGAGTTAAACCTGAAGTTATACAGAACATCATCATTAGAAATGATTTGTCAAAGTCAGAGTGAGGCTTTTATTTTTCAAGATCTTATTTTAGAGACGGTATGTAAAAACCAAACCATGAGCACAGTTGCATTCTGTTGAAGCACAGCTTTTATTTCCTCAACTTGACTGAGAGGTTTATCGTTCTCTTTTTTTTTGTCTGCTTAATGTAGGACGATGAGGAAGAGGATGAAGATATTAATACTCCTGGAACATCAACACAGAACCATAAGGTAACATATCAACCAGCCACTGTGGTTCTGTTTATTTTAGATTAAGGTGTGTGACACTAAACACCTGTTTCCAGCAGCGGATGCAGTTCCCTCGATTTACTTTGAGTTCATTTCCAGGGCCGTCAACCCATGAAACGCCAGCTGAGAAATCGCCCTCATTCATACGATCCTCATGCGTGGAAGGGACGTTGTAAAGAGCTGCTGGACCTCATCTTTCAGTGTGAAGACTCTGAGCCCTTCAGAGAACCTGTGGACCTGCAGGAGTACCCGGTACATGTGCAAAAATAAACCCCTCTTCATATTAAGTATGAGGAAGACGTGCTGGTTAAAGATCTCTACTCATTCTTGTCTAATTTCTTATCTGCTTGTTTTCGGTCGTCAAGGACTACCTGCAAATCGTTGACTCTCCGATGGACTTCGGCACGGTTCTAAAGAAGCTGACTGAAGGGAAATACCAGTCTCCTATTGAGCTCTGCAAAGACATCCGGCTCATTTTTAGCAATTCCAAAGCTTACACCCCCAGTAAGAAGTCGCGGGTGAGAATCACTCAAACACGTACAACTCTCACATTTCATCGTAAAGTTAGAATTGAAGGCAACGGGACATTTTCTTTAGAAGCTTGGAAAAGTTTATTTTTTCATCTTGGATGTTTTCACAGTTATAAACGTGAATGAGAAGTGAAATGTGTCCAAGATTCATAAAACAAGTCCAGTTTGTTAGCATTACTGTGTCTCAGGGGTTCCCAAACTTTTCCATGCCATGGCCCCCAAACAGCATTAGCTTCTGGCTGAGGCCCCCCCTCGCAAGCCCACAAACAATTTATGTAAAGAAACATCAACTTTTAGAATGTTTTAACTTTTATTCACTATATTCTATTAATTATTACAGCTGCTGAGCATAAACATGTTTTTAACGAACAAGTTTTAAACACTGTATTCTGTTCCCGCTGATAAAAACAACTTTTCAACAAACTGTTGACCAGAAGAACAAAACAAAATAAATCTAACCTCTCTCCCAAGCGTGTTTATCTGGAAATGATGGATACAGATTGCACTAGTGAGCAATTTTTATTATTACAAATTTTTTTATTTTTGCTTTTTTTTAAATCTTCTCTCCAGCTTTCTGTGGGGCCCCTCGCGAACCCCCAGGGGCCCATGGCCCCCACTTTGAAAAACACTGTCTTAGATGACTGAGAACCAACTTCAGCAGTATTTAGGATGTATTTATTCACATTTTGATAAAAATTAAATGAGCCAAAGCTTTTCACCTCTAGTCATGCTTTTATTTTGCAGTTGGTCATTTTATTGTTTGTCATTGTGTCTCCAGATCTACAGTATGAGTCTGAGGCTTTCTGCTCTGTTCGAGGAGCACATCAGCTCCATCCTGTCGGACTACAAAGCCATCCACGGCTTGACAGATAAACTGACCAGACGAGGCACGGACAGACAGACACGACACACTACAGACAGACAGACACGACACACGATGAAGAGGAGGAGGAGCGAATCTCCCATAAGCAGCAACGCATCTAGGTACAAGACGTGATGTTTATTTATAGCTGTCGTCTTTTTTTTTTTACATAGAAAACAAAGGTGATCCCTTACTTTCGTCCTGTTTGTAGCCCAGAGAGAAAAAGACGTGTGTCGTCCCGGGTGGTGGCAAAGAGGGAGCCATCACCACCTCCTGCTCGACCACCTTCTCTAAGGCAGAGCGTCCCCCTGAAACAACCACCTCAGCTGGTCAACGGTAAAGTGGAAACCCAAACTCCAGGACGAACACGCAGCGCTGCACGCCACACCAGGCACTCCTCTCCCTCCTCAAATAATGTTACCAACAACACACCAAACCCAGGAGGTGAGACTCCTAAACTTCTTCTGAACAATTATTGACGGGTACCATTTCAGCTACTGTTGTGGCTAAATATCATCAATATTCAACATTATCGTTAACTTCATGAAGTCAGTAATTCCTGTCCATGTATGACACTTATTTCTAGAAACTTCTCTTTCATAATTTGTGGACGATATGATCACCGTGGAAACCACCCCTGATCGCTCCTCAAGAGACACGAAGGGGGAAAATTAAGCCTCAAACAGTTGCTGTCAAAAAACTATAAGACACACGGACAATAAACAAATCTGCATCATCAGTGACAGAAGTGTTTGGGGGTCAGACATAATATTTGATTTTGTTTCTGCAGTTTTATCTAGGAAATATGATGTAGTATGACATATCCTGAGATATATTCATACATTAAACGGGTTCTTCATTTTTCTGGACTGTGTAACATACGTGCGTTGAATGTAATAAAAATGTGGACGTGAGACGTTAATTATCTTTGACTCACCAAGCGAGTGGGTCATTTATTAACAGAATCAAGTTTAACACATCACACATTTACATTAATTGGCAAGAATTGGAAAATAACGACATAATTAATCAGCTTTACAACCAGGAAAACCATACGGCCATGATTTTCCGTTGCTACACCACAGACATTTCTGAAAACATCTGGATTAATTTTCTAGCAGATAGGAGAGTTTAAAGATGGAAAGATGAAGTTTATCTGAGAGAGATGTGTGAGGGAATTTGTCTGTTTTAACCAGAACAGCACGCTCCATTGAAATCAGCTTGGGCCAACGGTACGCTTGGTCGAAATAGAACTTTTACCTTGCAGACGATAGCTTCAGCGTCGGTGTAGAGCTCTCCTTTTGACTCTTTCAGCGTCTCCGTGAGAACAGCTAAAAACCTTGGGAGTCGTGTGAGGTTATCCAAACAGAAGTTATAATTCCCAAAATCGTCTCTGGTTCAGCTTGATTGGTTTAGCAGCATCCTGAATGCCCGCGTTCTGCATTCAGGAACTCCCAAACTCTCTGCATCTGAATTCCAAAAACTCCCTGCTTGAACTGCTGCTCCATCTTCAAGACTGAGCTTACAGCAGCTTCAAGACTGAGCTGAACTCTTCGAGCTGAACTCTTCTCATTGAACTAGGAAGTGCCAACCTTTTAAGAAGGGTCACTTCCGGTTCATTTGAGAGCTTTTTGATTGGTCGATGGACCAAAGCAGAGGTGTGGTTTGTGATGTAAGGTGTTATTAAAAGTCAAGGAAAAGATTCAGATTGTTTAAGAACAGACAGAAAGATTGTTGGAGAAAACCAGACTTAGTGGCGTCGCTCCACCAAGTATCTTGCTGTAAAAGTTAAACATGACATTTCTTTTCAGTAAACTTTCAGTTGACCGAAACTCGACCTTTGACACACTTACAAATTTGCTCACTTCAAAGCAGACGATCAAGAAATTGAATCATTACTCTGTAACATACTCTAACTTGATTTCACTTTGAATTGAGGATTAAAAATCATTACTACTGTTTAAGTAAATAAAAATGAGTAGTTCACTTCAACATGTAAACATTGTTTGAACTAACACAATTTGATTATCAAAACATTTGTAAAATAGTAATGATCATAGAGAATTGTCTCTTCCACTTGATTAATTCAAGAAAGAAAGTCTCAGGATCGATCAACCTGTATTTCTGGATGCAAATCAATGAAATGACAGTTTCTGACCATATGATCCTAAGGTCAAGATTTGACATCAGGTCAAGTTCACTACAATGAAGAGAACATTTTGAGCTCAGATCAAAAGTCAAAGTTTCTTTATTTGTCGTTCCACCACATGTGATGCATGTGGTGGAACGACATTATGTACACAGGGTCCCAGTTAATCCAACAACAGTATAAAAATGTAAAGAAAAACAATAATAAGATCTAAGATATGAACTAAGAAAACATTAACTAAAAATACACTAAGCACTAGTAGTACAAAAACAATACGCTGAACAGCAGCATGAACATGAGTCTGTGAGCAGATGAGAACGCATGAACACAGTAACATTGAAACAGATCAGCAGCAACATGAAACAGATCAGCAGCAACATGATGTGATTTTTTTCACATTGATTATTCTAGTTAGAGATTCATGAGTCTAACAGCCTCAGGGTAGAAGCTGTTCCTCAGTCTAGTGGTTCTACACTTAATGCTCCTCAACCTCCTTCCTGAGGGGAGCAGGGCAAAAAGTGTGTGTGCTGGGTGAGTGGGGTCCTTCATGATGCAGGTGGCCCTCTTCCTGCATCTGGAGGTGTAGATGTCTGTGATGGTGGGGAGGCTGATTCCGACAGATTTCTGTGCAGCCTTCACCACTCTCTGCAAAGCTTTTCTTTCTGCAGCTGTGCAGCCTCCATGCCACACATTGATGCTGGAGCACAGGATGCTCTCCACTGCACACCTGTAGAAGGAGGTGAGGACTGAGCTTCCCAGACCAGCTCGTCTCAGCCGCCTGAGGAAGTAGAGTCTCTGATGAGCTTTCTTGATCAGGCTGGTGGTGTTGTTTGATCCCTGGTCATTGCTGATCTCTTGGTGTCTCTGCGCAAGACACCTAATCCCGACTTGCTCCCCGGGCAACTACATAGCTGCCCACTGCTCCACCTGGGTGTATACCAGGTGCGATGGGTTAAATGCAGAGAACTAATTTCGTCTTTGTATGGGAACATACAATGATGACAACACATAACACTTTACTTTATTATTATTGTTGCCCCAGCTGAGGTTGTCATTCAGGTGCATACCCAAGTACTTGGCTGGAGACCACTTCCACCACAGATCCTCCTATGTTGGTGGTGGTGGTGGGGGTATATAGGTGTGTTTATTCCTTCTGAAATCCACAATCATCTCCTTCATCTTCTTCACATTGATGTGAAGGTTATTCTCTTTGCACCAGCTCTCCAGGTGTTCCACCTCCTGCCTGTAGCTGGACTCATCATTGTTTGTGATGCATCCCACCACCGCTGTATCATCTGCAAACTTTACAATGTGACAGCCTGGATGGGTAGCTGCTCAATCATACGTGAGCAGAGTGAACAGGAGGGGGCTCAGCACACATCCCTGAGGGGAGCCAGTGCTGAGGGTTATGGAGGAGGAGAAGTTGTGGATCCTCACTGACTGTGGTCTGTTTGTTAAGAAGTCTAGTACTCAGTTGCAAATGGAGGGGCTTAGTCCTAGTGTGGATAGTTTGTCCATCAGGGTTTGGGGGATCATGGTGTTGAAGGCAGATGTGAAGTCCACAAAGAGCATACGGACGCAGGAGTCCTTCTGCTCCAGGTGGGTGAGAGTAGTGTGAACCACAGAGGAGATTGCATCCTCTGTTGATCGGTTCTCACGGTATGCATACTGATGAGGGTCCTCGTTGATGATGTTGGTTGTTTTGATGTGAGTCATGACCAGTTTTTCGAAGCATTTAGCGACTATCGGGGTGAGGGCCACTGACCGATAGTCATTCAGACCAGTCACTGTAGAGCTCTTTGGGACTGGGAGGATGGTGGCAGTCTTCAGGCAGATGGGAACTGTCTCCAGGGTAAGTGAGGAGTTAAAGATGTCTGCCAGCACCTCACAGAGCTGATCGGCACATTCTTTCAGCACCTTCCCTGGGATGTTGTCCGGGCCGGTTGCCTTGTGTGGATTAATCCTCCTGAAAGTACTCCTTATTTCTGCTGAGGTCACGCTGAGATGCTCTTCATCTGGTGGTGAGGTGAGTCTGTTCAGGTCTTCAAAGTGTGTGTAGAACTTGTTGAGGGCATCAGGCAGACATGGGTGTTTTGGCCTTCTTAATACCAGCAACCAGCTCTTTCCTTGGCCTTCTCAGCTCCTGTGAGTTTCCAGACCTGAAGGCAGTGTTCCTGGCTTCCAGCAGGGTGCAAACCTCTGCATTCAGCCAAGGTTTCTGTTCAGGTGTCTCTTAACATATCTGATGGTGGTGACATCATCAACACATTTGCTAATGTACCCCAGGACAGAGTATCTGTTGCTCCAGGTCAAGCTCCCCTTCATTTCCAGATAAAATGCTCGTCGATGTGAATTTGGGTGTGTGCACTTTAAGAAGATTACAGAGAAAACAAAAGTCCTAAAGCATCAAGAGGCACACTGTAAAAAATAGAAATTGTTTATGTTTAATGTATAAACTATAAGAAGTGTAAAATTTGTGGGAGTAAGAGTAGTTTGCAAAAACTTTGAAGAAGTTAGTGTCTTTGCTTTAAGGTGAGCATTCTGATTTAAAATCTTCAAAACTCATAAAACCTAAGCTGATTGTCTAAAAATGTAAAATATATCAAAATGCCTGTTCAGTCGTATAAAGTCTACCTTTCTGTGACCTGTTTAAACTTTAAATGCTGTTTCTACTGTGAAGTGTGTCTGAGCTGCAGAGCTCTAAACAGGTCTGGGGTTTCTTCTAAGTCCTTCATCTTTGATGTTTATTTTATGGAGGGTTTTCCAAAACCGAGAATAAAGAGCAAACGGCAATAAGGGTGCTGCAAAGCCTTTGGATCAACCCTCTTAATTACCCCAATATATCCCTGATCTGTTTCTTATTCAACTCTTAAAAAGCAAATAAATAATATTGTTCACTTCTTACAGTGTCAGTAACTAATTACATGATCAACTGCTTACTCCTTTTATCCGTTTTTCAGAAACCTCTCGCTCGTTACGGGCTCATAGTTCTGTTCGAGCTTCAACGCCACCAGCTCCTGAGAAGGTGACACCCCCCCAGCCAACAGAGAGCAGCTGTGGAAGCACTCGTCGGAAACTCAGGACGCCTGTGCGACACTCGCCTGGTAGGTGGTGACGACATAAAACAAGCCACAGACGAGCGTGAGTTAACATCTTGACACTTACCTGCACGCTTTTCTTGTTTTCTGTCCTCGTTTTCTCTCCAAGCGTCTCCTGCCAGCCCTTCACCTCCGAGCACGGTCCATCTGAACGGCCATAGTCATGTGAGCCTTGGCCTGGGAAGAAAGGGGAGGAAGTCCAGAACTGAATCACCGGTGAGCCCGCCAGAAGCCCCAACTCCAGCTAGCCCTTCCAGACCGCGAGGTCGGCCGCCTGGCAAGAAGAGAGGCAGAAAGAGCAAGCAGGAGCTGGAGGAGATGAGACGGAGCAGCGCCCGCAGGAGCTCCACTGAAGACGAGCACGGCCACTCCACGAGCGACGAGGGCGGCGCGTCGTCTGCGCAGGACCTTTCAGTGCTCTCAGACTCCGGGACAGTGCCGGTGCCTAGACGACGAGGACGGCCCCGGCTGGTAAAAGCCGAGGAATCGGCTCCTCCTGCCGAGTCACCCGAGCCCTCGCCACTGAGGAGGAGCAGCAGGAGAGCCAACGAGGAACTCCCGCCCAGTCCTCAAAACGCCTCCCTGAGATCAAGTCGAAAGGAGTCTCCGAAGACCGAAGCAGGGGAGGCGGCGCTAGTTTCCATGCGCACGCGCAACCAAGGGCGTCGGTCAGCCTGGTACATGGAGGAGGACTCTGAGGAGGAGCAGAGGCAGTTGCTGTTTGAGGACTCGTCAATCACGTTTGGCACCTCCTCAAAGGGTCGCGTCCGCAAACTGACAGAAAAGGCCAAAGCCAACCTTATAGGCTGGTAGAGAGCAGGCGCGCGAGCGTGAGGGCTCACTGACGCTTCGGAGGAGGTTAAGGCTCTCTGTCGAAGTTTTTCTGTGCACATGTGTTTGTGCGTGCGTGCATGTGTGGAGCCTCTGAACCAGCCGCTGATGGTTGAAGCTGCGGAGAGGACCACGCATTACCTGTTCCCACTTCGTCGTCGACCCCACCTTCCTCTGCCACGGCGCGTTCGTTTGCTCCCACGCCTCCTACTTTATTGATCCATGTTGGATTACACAGGAGCGCACGGAGTCCCATGTTGGTGGCAACACTCCTCCTGCCTGATGGTTTGGTGTCAGACTGGTCCAAACAGCAGGCGACCAGACCTAAAGTACTTGGAAGAAATCCTAAGGAGTTCAGATCCTGTCTTACTATTTTTGAGGAGCTTTTAAATGTCTGTGCCGAGTAGACGCCCATGGAGCAGAACCAGTTGGGTTCTGGGATGGAGTCCAGTCTATAAGTCAACACCTTCTACCCCCTGCCTTCGTTGTCTCTGCTTTTTTATATACAACCCAATCATTGATCTTTCTAAGGTGTCCCTTTGTTTTGGAAGTCTTACACGTTGACCCGAGTGTATCTGTGCTAAAATACCAAATGGCGTACCCCTTGTCGGTACTGTGGATTTCGTGTACTCTTGATGTTTTTTCGTTTTTGTGCATGTTAATTAGGGACAGGAAGCATCGTTTTTCTTCAAACTAGTTTTACTGTGAGGTGGATAAAAAGGATGCATGGCTGAAAGGAGTCATTGATGTCTCTTTGTATCATGTTTCAGTGCGTCCTTAGCATTAGCAATACCTTGTGCCTTTATGTGTATGATGTGTGCGCACGTGGCCTCTGAAAGTACAACCCCACTTGAGAAAGAGTCGAAACGCTGCGAAAAATAGAAATGAAAACTGAATGCAATGATTTGTAAATCTCATAAACCCATATTTTATTCGCAGTGAATGGTAGTAAACATCAAATGTTAAAGAAATTCTGCCTAGTTTAGGAAATTAAGTCATTTTAAATTTGATTACAGCAACACAGCATTTTAACAACCGTTAACAGGTTGGAGGTTTTGGACGGGAACGTGGTCCCATTTTTGTCTGATGGAGAATTCTAACTGTTGCTCCTTTCTGCTGGACTTTTTTCATTTATTTAATGATGTGCCAAATGTTTTCAGTTAGTGAATGGTCTGGATTGTTCCACGACAAAGCCATGCTGTGCCGTGGTATTAAAAGTAGTGTGATTTAAGTTTGTCTTGCTGAAATAAGCAAGGCCTTGCCTACAAAAGACTGGATGGGAGCATACGTTGTTCCAAAACCTGTACTTTTCTGCACTGATGGTGCTCTTCCAGATGTGCAAGTTGCTCATTCCATACGCATGAATGCACCCCCATACCAACAGAGAGGCAGGCTTAGACTGGATAATCCCTCTCTTCTTCAGAGCAGATGTAGTGTCTGGATTTTTAAACAAATTTCAGTTTGCGCTCATGTGACCACAGAACAGTTATCCATGTTGTCTAAGCTCGTTGTAACTGAGCTTTGGTCCCGAGGAGATGGCGGCGCTCCTGGATGTTCACACATGGCTTCTTCTTTGCACGATAGAGCTTTTACCAGTTACAGATGGCACAGTGAACTGTGTTTACAGATAAAAATGTGTGTTCCTGAACTGTTTTTATAGCAGTGGCCCCTGAGGGCCCACAGACCACAGGCATCAAATACTGACTTTCAGTTTTGTCCTTAGAGCTGAGATTTATCCAGAATCTTGAAATCTTGATGATTTTATTAATTATGGGTGACGGCACATTCAAAGTCTTCCTTATTTTTTGTTGTAGGATATTTTTCCTTTATTTTTACACAACTTCTTTTCAGCACGGTTAATCTCTGCCCATCTTTACTTCTAAGAGGCCTCTAAAATGCTCTTTTTAACACTTATTTTAAAGATTTGTTGCTGCCTTCACATTCAAAATCCCCTTGTTTCCCCCCCAACATCCAAATTTCTTCAGAACTGGGGTTGTACATGTGCCTGTTTGTGTATGAGCTCATGCGTTCCTGCAGGAGCTGTGTGTGTGTGTGTGTGTGTGTGTGTGTGTGTGTGTGTGTGTGTGTGTGTGTGTGTGTGTGTGTGTGTGTGTGTGTGTGTGTGTGTGTGGTTCAGAGCGTACAAACTGTGGCATACAGTTTGATCGTCGTGAAACCTTTTCAAACAAACGAAAAGACGTTCCTGTTGTAAACGCACCGGTTCATGTTGATATGTTGTCCTGTAACCAACCAGTCATCTGTTAATACCTGATGAAGGTACAGAGGGTGGAACTAGCTTTGAGATGCACCTAAAGGGATAGTCTGACCATTCTTAAGTGATGTTCTGTCAGTTATCAGTCAGTCGCTAAGTCTGGAGATTTCATCCAGACGCATGGCTAGCTAAACAAGTGCCCATTTTGTATTGTTTTTTTTTGTTTACAAACATTTCTTGCATACTGGTGTGAAATAACACTACATTACGTAACGACATCTGCGATTTTTGTCAACTATTTAAAAGAGCATCACTTCAAAAAGGATCAGACTGTCCCTTTAACCACAGATTAATGCAGTTTTAGGCAGGATCTTTTTTTTTTTTTTTTTTCTTAACACAAGCTTTTAAAATGTTGGAAGTTTTCTATTAGGAACACACACATTCACACATTTCATGCACAATTCTGTCTCGCATGTTCCAGCACTTTCTTACGCCTGAAACAAAACAGACAAAAAGAAAAATCAACCTGGTTCTGACTGAACTGGGATGAAAATCAAACCAAGAAAAGAGACTCATCTTATATTCACCATTCTGATTGTGTGCCTTTGCTACCCTGGCATATTGAATCCTCTTGAATATTGAAACTTTTGGGACCTGACAGTAGTCCATGTGGGACTAATGGAAGAGTGACGGGACAGATCATGTGCACACAGCATAAGGTACAGAGTTTTCTAAAGGAAAGCAGTCTGATGATGACTGCAGAGAACTGGATGGTAGCATCTATGAACACCTGATTCATCTCATAAATCACATATAAAACCTATATCTCATCTGTTTATTGTCCTTTGTGTTGGTTTTGTATGAATTTGTCAACGCCAAATTCTGTCTGGGCACTGAAACTTTACAACATGGCTTTTGAATGTTTATTTCCTTTATTTTTATTTCAAGTTTTGTCTTCATAGTGGGCGTTCACACACACACACACACACATATATATATATATATATATATACACACACACACACACACACGTGTGTATATATATATATATATCACACACATACTCTCCAAAAAATTAGAACATCATGGAAAAGTTGTTTAACTTCCATAATTCCATTCAAAAAGTTAAACTTTAATAGATGATAGATTCAGGGCCCACAACTGAAACAATTTCAAGTATTTATTTGTTTATTTTTACATAATTTGGGCTTCCAGCTCATGAAACCCACGAAAACAGGATTTCAAAAAAAAAATTACAATATTGTGGACATCACCTACGTTACTTCTCAGTTTTTGCAGAAAAAATAAAGAAATGAGGATCACAACAAATCAATCAAAATATGATGCTTTCAAAACGATATGTCAGTCTTCAATACTTGGTTGGGAACACCTTTGCCTTAAATCACTGCCTCCTGTGACGTGGCATTGAGACAATCAGTCTGTGGTATTGACTGGCAGTTATAGAAGCCCAGATTTCCTTGATTCATTCAACCTTTATTTAGACAAGTTAATCCCATTGAGCCTCGAGGACTCATTTACAAGAGAGACCTGATTGAACAAAGAATGATGACAGCAGTGGACAACGACACTGATGATGCTTGCTGTCAGCTGCTCTTTGTTGTTGGGTCTGGTGCCATCATGTTCCTCTTGAGAATACCTCTTAGATTCTCAATGGGGTTTAGGTCCGGCGAGTTGTCTGACCAGTCAAGTACTGTGGCATGAACATCAAACCAGGTTTTGGTGCTTCTGGTGGCATGGACCGGGACCAGGTCCTGCTGGAAAATGAAATCTGCATCTTCATACAGATCCTCAGCAGACGGAATCATGAAGTCCTCTAAAACATTCTGGTAGACTGTTGCAGTGACCTTGGATTTAAGAAAGCAGAGTTTACCAACACCTGCACCGGACATTGCACCCCAAATCATGACTGACTGGATATTTCACACTGGACCTCAACCAGTATGGGCTCTGTTCCTCACCCTTCTTCCTACAAACCCTTTCATCTTGATTTCTGAATGAAAAGCACACTTTACTTTCATCGGAAAAGAGGAACGAGGAACCCGAAAGATGTAGTCCAGCTCCCGGATGTGTCTGAATGTGGTGGTTTTTGAAGCTGTGACTCCCGCCTCATTCCACTCTTTCTTGATCTCTGACAGATTCTGGAATCTTTTCCGTTTGATAATTTACTGAAGCCCATGGTCATCACTTTTGCTGGTGCATCTTCTCCTGCCACATGTTGCCCTTCCACTAGACTTTTCATTGATATGTTTGGACACAGCACTCTATGAACAGCCAGCCTCCTTAGCTATGAACTTTTGTGGCTCACCCATCCTATGGAAGGTATCAGAGATGGTCTTCTGGCCAGTTATTTCTGCAGTCTTCTCCATATTGAACCAAACTGAAGCAACTTAATGACACCTGGGAAAACCTGTGCAGGTGCTTTGAGTTCAGTAGATTAGTGTGTCAAACTCAGTTCAAAACATTCATGCCCCGCAACATTAGGGCTGATTTCTTCACAGTATTCTATTTTTTTTTTTTTTTTTCATTCCTGTTTTTGTGGGTTTCATGAGCTGGAAGCCCAAATTATGTAAAAAAAAAAAAAAAAAATTTGAAATTGTTTAAATTGTGGGCCCTGAATCTATCATCTATTAAAGATGAACTTTTTGAATGGAATTATGGAAGTTAAACAACTTTTCCATGATATTCTAATTTTTTGGAAAGTGTGTGTGTGTGTGTATATATATATATATTTGTGTGTATATATATATTTGTGTGTGTGTCTTCTGTTGTCTGAGTCTCCCTGCCATACACGAGGATTTCAGTGGTCAGATCTGTGAAGACGGGAAATTTTCGGCTCTGCCACACACTTTATTTGTACAAGAAGAGTATCTCCAAACTGAAATGGCCAAAAAAAGCAGACACCTTCCTTTTATAGAGACATAAAAGTACATTTTATTAAAGAGGTTTAAATCTTTGCCCATTGAAATATTTATATTGCACGGATAAATGTTTGCTCATACTTTATTTTTAACATAGCTCTTCATATACAGCTTGATATATTGATTGAGGGGAGTGTAAACTAATTTGCTGACTCGAGCCGCTTGAGCTTCACATATAAAGTTATTTCTATAGAAGTAAAAAAAAAGTACTTTGTCCTCTTATTGTATTGACTGGTGGCAACAAGCGCATTTAGATAGTATCCATTAAATATAATGTTATGGATACTTTGCAGGGGTTCCCAACCATGGTCCTTGAGGAACACCATCATGCATGTTTTAGTTGTTTCTCTGCTTCGACACACCTGTTTTTAATTTATGGGTAATTAACGGGCTTCTGCAAAACATGAAGTAATTAAGTCACTGAATCAGGTCTGTTGGAGCAGGGAAACAACTGAAACATGCAGAATGGTGTTCCTCAAGGACCAGTGTTGGGAACCACTGCTTTATGGTTTACTACACTATCCCAAGCTACCCGAGTTCTGAATTCAGTTCCCCTTTTAAACACAGTGTCCAGTTTTGTACAAAACTATTAATGGATGTTTTTATTTTTTTATGTTTGTGTAAGAAGTTTCTGTTCAGTCTCAACAGTTCAGAACACTTCGACTTTATGGATTTTATGAAAACGTGCAACATTGATTTACTGCGAGCCTCTGAATGTGTGGCAGACACTCGTGGCCTGAGCGTCAGTGTTTGAATGGAGGTCAAAGGTCACTGTGTGTGTGTGTATGAATGAAGTGGCTACATATGAGCCACTAAGTTTAAATGTGTGTGGGGTGGTACGTAACTGGGAGGGGAGGGTGTCTCTTTTCTGTGAACTGATTGATGAAGCTGTCTTTGTTAGTTTGGATACTTTTTATATATAAAGGAATAAAAGCATAAAGCTAGAATGTACGTGTAGGAGAGTACTGCTGTTCTGTTAGTTCATACCAAGGTTTGAAGTAAATAAACCGTTGTGTTTTAATTTTAGTTTTTGTGTTTGTTGTTGTTTTTAGTTTTAAAAGTCATTTAAGGCCAGGAGTCAGATTTATAAATTAGCAGACTTGGAGGCAGAGGAAAACTAAGATGACGATTTGATTTCAACCTAATTAGCCGATTTAGTATTATGCTATATCGGGGTTTCAAGAAAACTAAATTCCCTGAGATTTCTTGGAGCAAATCCTGAAATTCCTGGAGATATTCGAGTCACACAAAACATTCAGAACTTTGCGTCTGGTGACGAACGGAGTCGCATTCAGAAGTGGCGCATTGGTACGTGCTTCCTGAAGTATTGGATAACAGGGCTGTTCAACTGGAGGCCCAGGGGCCAAATCAGACCTACGGGTGAACTTGGTTTGGCTCACCAATGGGTTTATTTTTAAATAAAACTAGATTTTAAACTGTAAAACAAAGTTGCTACAATGACAAGAACTGCCGGATGTCCGGCCCCTGAGCTCTTGACCCACTGAGCAGTTGAATAGTCCTGTTGTATAACATCAAATAGTAAGGAGGAGTACATATAATCCATGTACTGTGTACTCTGTAGAGGCAGAACATGGGACTCGATACCAGAATACTAGCAATAATACAAGTACACGTTAAAATCTTAGAACGATCATCTTTAATCAGCAGATCAAGTTCCCTGAGTTTTCGCTGACATTTTCCAGGTTTTCCCTGATTCCCAGAGTTGATGGGAACCCAGTGCATTCAATATACGTTCACATATTTATTTTTATCATTTTTTTAAAGTTTATTGCAAACATTATTAGACGCTAGACGTCCAACATCATTCAAGTCTGGAGGCGTGAACAAAAAAAACAAGGTTAGTGTTTCCAGAGATTTACCCGTTGAATTTTCTCATAAAATGAATTAATGTTTCACAGCTGCTCAAAGCACAGCGGTGTTTACACTGAAATTATATGCAAAATATACTTGGGCAACAAAAAACAAAATGCATGTTAATATTTTCTCAGAAGTTAAAATAGTTAATAATTTAAGGGAAATAAACCTCGTGAAGTAGCAGGTAAATGTTTAAATATAAACTGAAAAACAAAAAAAGTTGCCATTAACTTTACGCAGGCTTGTAAATAATACAACTCTGTAAATATTGATGACAAAAAAAAGATAGAAAAATAGAAGTTTGGAAAATGTAGAACCCTGCACATGACACAGAACGGTTCTGCAAGAACGTCGAGCTGCAGAACACGTTACTGGAAACGAGCTCCAGAAAACACAGCGCCTTCACTGGAGTATATATATATTTTTATTTTTTTGGTGTCTGAACCTGATTTGTTTCCGTAGATCCAGCCAGTCCACTGGTGGACAGCGTTTGTAGGAAACAGATTTTTTCTCTGCTCCTCAAATGCTGAACTGACCTGGGAAGCTGCATTTTATCAGCTCTAAACTCCCTCCTGGACTGGAAGAGGCCTGCGCACCATCGGCTGGTGATCACAGGGCCTTCAGTCATGTTACAGTGGGTCAACGAGTTATAAATGGGGTCTACAACTGGGGCCACATGTGGCTCTTCAGTCCCCGTCTAAACACGTGTTACAAAATGAAACGAGTTCACACTAGAAGTTTATCGGCCATTTTTAATCTGAGCTTCAAGCCACACAACAAACTTTTAAGACATCTGAAGCGAGCTTCTGAGAGGAAAACAAAGTGCACGTCTGCAAACATATAAACTATTGACGTATATAAGGCACTGAAATGAGGTGTTTTACAAAGATGCAGTTAATTGTAATAACTAAAGAAAAGCCCAACAAAGTTAAGTCATCTGGACAGTTTATTTTTTTGTTTAAACATTTCATCCTTCATCTAAAGGATCAGTCTGAGGAGCCACAACAAACTCAGTCCCATTACTCACAGTGGGCCAACCAGTTTTATGGTGATGAGGTGGTTTCTGGAATCTGCCCTCTCACCCGTCGACTCCTCTAAGGCAGCCATGGTCAAAGTGGTTCAAAACATCCAAGTTCATGCTCAATAATCCAGGTAAAAAAACTGATTTACTGATGAAGTCCTTTGGATGAAAGATGCAATTTTTCAACAACACCAACAACAAAAAAGGAACCATCCAGAGACTTAACTTTGTTGGATTTTTTTACCTGGATTATTGAGCATGAACTTTGAAACTAAAGAAAAGACTCACCTTTTAATAAAAACTTAACAGTTGAGACATAAATAAATGTTGAAAAACAGTTAAAATGTTTTTTTTAATTTAGCGCAAGAAATTCACAACCCAAGTAAAGCTTAAATACTCAACATTAGAATGTGCATGCATTATGCATGTTTAATTTCACACACACGGGACGCACGTGAGCTGACAGAAGCAGCGTTTCAGGAGCGGAGCAGAGGCTTCCGGTCTGCAGCAACACCGCCCCCTGGTGGCGGAGCGGCGCCACAGCACCTCCCGGACCCCGCGCCTCCTGACGTGGCGCCGCGCTACAGGTCCGTCCGCCCCTCCGTGGGCGGCGGTGATTGGGCACGACACTTATTTAGTCAAGTTTTTTTTTTTAATGTAAATACAAAAACACAGGTGGCGCCGGCATGCGTACAGTTTCTGTAAATAAAAGAGAAGTGAAACGGCGGCAGTCCGCTCCGGTTTCTGAACCACCATGCTCGGCAGAGAGTTGGAGTAAAACAAATCACAGCAGGTTTTGGATCTCACACCGAGGTAAGGATGACTTTAACACGAGGAGTTGTAACCATCAGTGTCTTAAGACTAGGGCCGAGTTAAGGTGTGAGCGCCTCCCAGCATGCACCTGTCCGTCCGCAGGTGGCGGCCATGCCCCGGCTCAGCCCCGCCGCCATGCTGCAGCTCGGCCTGCTGCTCTGCGCCCTGCCCGCCCAGATCCTCATCTGCAGCTGGAGCGGCTCCTCCGCCGCTCAGCGCTACCACGCGACCACACGGTGGGTGAAGCAGCTTCTATCAAACCACACCTGTCCAGGTAGGGGCGGAGTTACTTACTGTGGTGGGTGTTGTAGGTTGCTTCGTATCTGGAGAGAGTGGAGAACTTCTTCCCTTAATGCCACAGCATGGATGGAGTGGACAAACCAACAGCTGGACAAAGTGAGGTGAGTGGAAACCATTAAGTCATTAATGAAACAAATGATCTCGTAAACGGTGAGATGAATTAATATTCTTCTTCTTCTAGGTCTCTGGTTGGTTTGGGACAAGACGATCAGGAGACACATGTGTCCCCTCCCTTAGAGACCATGATTTTTGACAATGATCAGGGATTCTTTGGAGGTTTGTGAGCTCCCGGTCAGACAAGACTCCAGAAAATACCGTATTTTCTGCCGTACACGTCGCATCAGTCCAAATATGTCTAATAAAGTGGACAAATCCATAAATACGTCGCATCTATTACGCGTCACCGCTGAACACCTGGAATTGTGGACCGGTGTTGTGCCAAAAATCGATTGGCTGCCAATTGTCGGCCACGGGAGCGTGCATGGTAGGACTTTAACAAAAACTTAATAACTTAAAAACAATTATTTGTTTGCTGGACATTACAGTAAAGGTGCGCCTCAGTTGAACTTTTGCTTCATAAATGCACTTTAATGGTCAAATCAGCTGCATTTCTCCGGGGCGGCGCAGCGACATGAAGCTGACGGTTGTTCCAGGCAGACAACGGTGGCAGGTTATGGCAAGATGATTGTGTCATTAATAGCAGGGATGCATCGATCCATTATTTTATTTCTTTTACTTCTGATCCTGTTACCTAAATCTGGATATCATCATCATAGATTTTATATGAGGCTGTAATAATCTCCTCTCAAGTACAATTTGTACAAATATATGTATGCATGTCCAAAAAGGCAACTTGAGGTAAGTTTTATTAATGTTGGATAAGTTTCAAAGTTAGAATTAAATCCTGCTAACACAAAACATGTTTCTTTTTTATTCCTAGCTTTAAAGTGGATATTAAAGTGATTAAATGGCTTCAAACATCTAAGTTCATGGCATAAACCAACACAGACATGTTCCTGTTTGTAGTATTTTACATCACTTTTATAATGTAGCTGTTTTTATTTCTTTATATATATATATACAGAATCTTTTCAAAAAATTAGATCATGGAAAAGTTGTTTAACTTCCATAATTCCATTCAAAAAGTTGATCTTTAATAGATGATAGATTCAGGGCCCACAATTTAAATTATTTCAAGTATTTATTTGTTTATTTTTACATAATTTGGGCTTCCAGCTCATGAAACCCACGAAAACAGGATTTCAACAAATTAGAATGCTGTGGAGACACCAGCCCAAATGTTGCAGGGCATGAATGTTTTAAACTGAGCGTGACACTAATCATCCACTAAACTCAAAGCACCTGGACAGGTTTCCCCAGGTGTCATTAAATTGCTTCAGTTTGGTTTGTTGCCATTGTGCTTGCTCAGAATGAGAGACTGCAACGGAGCCAAGATTCGACTTGTCTGCTGGATTCCTTAGAGAACTTTACTATTGGGTTTCTCTATGTATGAGAATGTTCCTGTAAAGGATTCAAGGTTCTTTATTCGTCATTCACACCACTTGTGGTACATGTGGTGGAACAAAATTATGTACACAGGGTCCCAGTTACATCCAACAATACAATGTCAAAGAAAAACAGTAATAAGATCTAAGATATGAACTAAGAAAAACATCAGCTAAATAATACACTAAGTACTAACAGCATAAAAACATTACGTCGAACAGCAGCACGAACATGAGTCTGTGTGAACAGATGAGCACGCATGAACACATCAACATGAAACAGATCAGCAGCAACATGATGCAATTTTATTTTTTTTTTCTTCAGTGATTATTCTGGTTAGAGATTCATGAGTCTTAACAGCCTCAGGGTAGAAGCTGTTCCTTGGTCTAGTGGTTCCACACTTAGGGTGCATTCACACCAGCCCTGTTTAGTCCGCTTTAATCGAACTCTAGCTCGTTTTCCTAGAAAGTCCGGTTCGTTTAGGGAGGTGTGAACGCGCCATCGAACTCTGTCACGGAACAAAAAGGCGAACTCTGGCCCGGGCTAAAACCTAGGTCTCGGTCCGGTAGAAGAGAACTCCAGCGCGGTTCGAGTACAGTGTGAATGTAAACAAACCGGACCCGCTCCACTGGACAAACAAACACGCATTTCTCTGATCTTATATGGAGCCGTCAGCTTCCTTGTGTGAAAAACAATATTCTCCATGGTCTTCTGTCTCATCTTCTGCTCATGCTAAGTCCATTTTTGAAAAATGACAAAATATAACTCCTAAAACTGCTAAAACTTGATGCCACCTCGTTTTTATTTTTATTTACAGAAGAAGAAGAAGACGACGTGTCTTCAGAGGTTTTTGTGTCATTTTTTTCAGTAGTTCTTGGTGCAGCGCCCCCACAGGCGAGCGGGGGAATAGGTTGGTTCAACAGGTTGACTCGACTGCACAGTGCAGTGTGAATGCAAACTCACCAGCTCAAATGTAAACAAAAGCTCATGAATATTGGTCCCGAACCGAGTCTACCGGACTATCTGGTGTGAAAATGACCTTAATGTTCCTCAACCTCCTTCCTGAGGGGACAAACGGTGTGTGTGCTGGGTGAGTGGGGTCCTTCATGATGCAGGTGGCCCTCTTCCTGCATCTGGAGGTGTAAATGTGATGGTGGGGAGACTGACTCCAACAGTCTTCTGTGCAGCCTTCACCACTCTCTGCAAAGCTTTTCTTTCTGCAGCTGTGCAGCCTCCATGCCACACATTGATGCTCGAGCACAGGATGCTCTCCACTGCACATCTGTAGAAGGAGGTGAGGACTGAGCTTCCCAGACCAGCTCGCCTCAGCTGCCTGAGGAAGAAGAGTCTTTAATGAGCTTTCTTAATCAGGCTGGTAGTGTTGTTGCTCTAGCTGAGGTTGTCATTCATGTGTACACCCAAGTACTTGTAGCTGGAGACCACTTCCATTGCAGATCCTCTTATTAGTGGGGGTGTTTGTTCCTTCTGAAGTCCACAATCATCTCCTTTGTTTTCTTCATATTGATGTGAAAGTTATTCTCTTTACACCAGCTCTCGAGGTGTTCCGCCTGTAGCTGGACTCGTTGTTTGTGATGCATCCCACCACCACTGTATCATCTGCAAACTTTACAAAATGACAGCCTGGATGGGTAGCTGCACAATGATATGTGAGCAGAGTGAACAGGAGAGGGCTTGGCACACATCCCTGAGGAGAGCCAGTGCTGAGGGTTATGGCGAAGGAGGAAAAGTTGTGGATGCTCACAGAGTGAGGTCCGTTTGTTAAAAAGTCTAGGACCCAGTTGCAAATGGAGGGGCTTAGTCTTACTGTGAATAAAGTAGTGAAGTAAAGTGCCCTGAGACAACTTTGTTGTGATTTGGAGCTATATAAATAAACTGAATTGAATTCAATTGGCTCAGTTCGGTTCAATATGGAGAAGACTGCAGAAATAACTGGCCAGAAGACCATCATTGATACCCTCCATAGAATGGGTAAGCCACAAAATTTCATAGCTAAGGAGGCTGGCTGTTCAGAGTGCTGTGTCCAAGCACATCAATGGAAAGTCTAGTGGAAGGGCAACATGTGGCAGGAGAAGATGCACCAGCAAAAGAGATGACCATGGGCTTCAGCGGATTATCAAACAGAAGATTCCAGAATCTGTCAGAGATCAAAAAAGAGTGGAATGAGGCGGGAGTCATAGCTTCAAAAACCACCACATTCAGACACATCCAGGAGATGGGCTACAACTGTTGGGTTCCTCGGTCCTCTTTTCCGATGAAAGTAAAGTGTGCCTTTAATTCAGAAATCAAGGTCAAAGGGTGTGAAGGAAGAAGAATGAGGAACAGAGCCCATACTGGTTGAGGTCCAGTGTGAAATATTCACAGTCAGTAATGATTTGGGGTGCAATGTCCAGTGCAGGTGTTGGTAAACTCTGCTTTCTTAAATCCAAGGTCACCACAACAGTCTACCAGAATGTTTTAGAGGACTTCATGATTCCTTCTGCCGAGGATCTGTATGGAGATGCAGATTTCATCTTCCAGCAGGACCCTGTCCATGCCACCAGAAGCACCAAAACCTGCTTTGATGTCCATGCCACAGTACTTGACTGGCCAGACAATTTGCTGGACCTAAACCCCATTGAGAATCTAAGAGGTATTCTCAAGAGGAAAATAAGGGGCACCAGACCCAACAACAAAGAGCAGCTGATGGCATCAAGGAAATCTGGGCTTCCAGAACTCCCAGTCAATGTCACAGACTGATTGCCTCAATGCCACGTTGCATCGAGGCAGTGATTTAAGGCAAAGGTGTTCTCAACCAAGTATTGAAGACTGACATATTGTTTGGAAAGTGTCATATTTTGATTTTGTTGTGATCCTCATTTCTTTATTTTTTTTTCTGAAAAAACTGAGGTGTGGGCTGATGTCTTCACAGTACTCCAATTTTTTTTTAAATCCTGTTTTTGTGGGTATCATGAGCTGGAAGCCCAAATAATGTAAAAATAAACAAATAAATACTTAATCATTTTAAATCGTGGGCCCTGAATCTATCATCTATTAAAGATTAACTTTTTGAATGGAATTATGGAAGTTAAATAACTTTTCCATGATATTCTAATTTTTTGGAAAGGGTATGTATGCATGTGTGTGTGTGTGTATATAAATATATATAAAAAAATTATTTCTTTGCAATTCATATGCTTTTATGATTGTCTACTGTTGTACTGATAAATATCTCCAGGAGGGTAAATTATCTTGCTGCAAGTATCAAGCTGCGAAATCCTTTGTTTTCTACAGCTGATAGCGGTTGGTCATTAATTACGATGACGTTTAGCAACTTCTCGGTAAACATTCGAGCTCTGTGGCTTCAGCGGCGTGTTCTTCTCATTCAGTCCGAAGCAGGCAGTCTGATTTTGGTCAGCCGTGCTCAGTCTGCCTTTCGTCCGAGACAGGCAGACTTGAGCAC